AGGATCCATGTTCAGCTACTTTTGGAAAGAAATCTCAATTGCCTCTGGAATCTTCTCAACAGATGCTGAGTGTCAGGTGTGCCTGAAGACCCACATTTCATAGCTGGTGATAGGGAAGTTAGGAAATAAGAAAACAAGCCCCCCTTTAGCTTTCTACCCCAGCATGCCCCTCTCCAAATCTGTTCAACAGTAAGGCACAGTATGTGTTACAGAGGCTATGCCATAGTGTCACTGTCTGCAGATGGACACACTGCAGGTCCCTGCCAAGGGTATTGGAGTAAGTTGCCTTTAGAGCAAAGGTGCCCTCGGGAATCTGGTTTCTTGGCTGTCTTTCTGCCATAAACTCCAGCATTTTATTTGAATGGGGGCTTTATTTCTGTCTCATCCATGGATTAAAAATCTAACATTCATGAGTCTAAAGTTTGAGATATTTGGGTATTGCATTTCTCAGAGGTTTTCTTTAAAGAATTGACCACAAAGGCTGCCATCTAATGGCTTCATAAAAGGAACCCAATCCATTTCTACCATTCTGTGCTATGGGACAATCTCTCATAAATGAACAGGCACTAGTGTGTTAACAGACTGCTCCTTTCAGATGGGTCATTTTTATTTCAGCCAAGAATCTTTAGATGTATGTCCTGGCCCAAAAGAACAGTACTGTGGATACCAGAGCTCTGTACAAGCTCTTCAAATCGCCTTCCATGTGGGTGGCCATCAACTTTGCCCACACGAAAATCTACTTCAATCCAATTCCACTGCGTATTAACTAGTTGTGTGCTTAGTAGCCTCTTTCTGTTGGCTTAAAAGTTATTATGCTATTCATTCTGAAATGGGACAAGATGGGACACTGTGTTCAAGCCAGAAACTACACAGAAACGCAATATTTGATGGAAAGCCTGAATGCTGTCAGCTCTCTGTCATTGATCAGATCTCTTGTTCCCTCAGACCACAACAGGTACAGACAGAAAGTTCAACAACTGGCAGCCCTGTGTTTACCCTGTCACAGCTCCAAAACTAGACAACACCTGTGAGATGCTCACTTCAGGGACTGTTGTCATTCTAAATGGAAAAACAGCTTCCTCTAGAAGAAAACCATGAACAACATGAACTAGCTCGTTCATTTCAGCTCCTGATGCTCAGTGTTTATGCGTGCAGTATTTATAAGATGTTTATAAATAGGATCCTGATTGTGAAGTTTCTGTTTATCCCACTTTTTGGATTTTAAAGATGAGTGTGTCTGACATCTGACCCTTTACATTGGTTAAAAATATAAAGTTATTCAAAAAGTTACTTGAAAAATAAAAGGGTCCCTTAAAGGATAAATTTATTTGTATGCCAGGGCATTTTGAAAACCATTAAGGTTTTTTCATAATTAGTGTTTTTCAAGAAATTTTTGAAACCCCTTAATATGTGTGGATTTCCACTACTATTGCATCCAAATAAATTAATCTCTCCATTTTATTTTGCATGACCTATTTGAAGTTTCTTTCTCATAAGCCTGGCTCTTCTGTCAAAAGGCCCTTTTCAGAATTCACAGTAATAAATTACATCGAACATAATTTGAACAGAGCATGAAAGTAAGAAACACCTAAAACAAGGTGTTGACCTTATTGCCCTTTCTTAGAACTGATGGGCCACCCATCCGTTTCTCAGGAGGGCACACACTGGGCTTCAGTGCATGGAAACCATCTTCCCATTTATTGCTTTGATTATTCTATGCCCATCACTAATTGACAATACCTTCTGTGGTGGCCTTAGAAAGTTGGTGCTTGTTAATGCTCACCCTATCCCAAAAAATGGGAAAACTCTGCTTGCAAGGAGTTAGCTACCATCCTTAGTCAAGCGCAGAACAGGAAGCCCTTCTCTCCTATGCAGAAATAAAGAATCATTTTCTACCTCCTTAGCGCCCTCCTCTTCAACTAAAGCCTAGACCCAGCTGTTCTCCATTATTTGCATACCTCCTCAACAAAAAAAAAGATCAGTGACAGACAAGCTGACATCTGCTTTACTCCTTTAAGCTGCTCAGAAAAGCAGGAAATGCAGTTTTTGAATCCTATGCATGGGATGGAGCTTTGATGAGTCCAGTTTGATGACTGAGCTGGACGGAGAGGGGCAGGTAGCTCAGTGCTCTGCTTTTGCACCTGTAGGGGATGTCGTCCATTTCTGAGTGATGGGGAAGCCCCTGGATTTACTAATGGTGGAGCGTTTTCAGTGTGGTCCCGTCGGGAAGGGGAGAAGAGGGATACTAATGTTATGATTTGACTTTAACCATTAATCTTTGCCTGGGACACGTGGCAGTCCCTTTCAGGATCCTTCTCATTTACTCTCTAGATCTAGACTAAAGTCTGCTGGAATAACTCCTCCTCCCCCCAGGATCCATTACTTGTTCTGTGCTGTTAATATGTGTAGTTATGGGTTTTGGTTCCATTTTGTTATGTTTTCTTACATGTTTTGGTTTATTGCTTTTTAAAATATATATATATATATTTTTTGGTTTAGTTTTGGAGATGAAAATGAATGTCGTATGTGAAAGCTGAGTTCCTTGTTTCTTTCTTTTACCCGTGGCTGACTGCATGTTCTCTATTGATGTCTTGTTCCTGGTTCTTGACACTGACCATCTTGTCTGTGAAAGGAGGCACTCCGGCGGGCTTGCTTGCCCAGAAGAAAGGGAAGTTTGCTTGGTTTAGTCACTCCACAGAGACCCATGGTAATGCTCCCCTGTGCTCTATGTGTGTGAATGTGTGTGCGTTCCTACGAGGCTGGAGGGGAGGGCATTTCTCTTGATGACTTGTCATGTGGTGATTCTGTTTTTGTGAGTCTTCCATGTCCCACGCAGGGCCTCTTCCTAGGCATAAATCAGGTGGGTTACTCAGCAACAGCTTTCCTTGAGGAACCCTTTGTTTGGATAGTACAATGCAAGATCAGGGGCACAATTAATGCAACTCTATGCCAGTGTGGCCTGTGCCTTGATTTGGAAGATAATATAACTTCTCCTAATACCCGGCTTTCCCAAACCTGTTTAGTTTTCTTTCTAAACCTAACTCCATCACCATCTGACTCTCCACTGCCTATGTAAGGGGCTCTCCATGGGCTCTCTGCCCTTTAAAATAATGCTGGGGAGTTATAAGACCGTTAGGTCAGGGGTGGTTAGAGACAGATACATTGAAAGACCGGAGATTCTTCAATTTTGTGACTTCTACCTTAGTTTGGATTGACCTGGGGCCCTGTTGAGCTCTAAAAGTCTGTTCTCTACTTACCGGTGCTAAATCCAACCTTAAGTCTCACCAGCTCCTTCAAACCTTGGGATCCGAAGTTCATATAAACACTGTTAAATCCAACACCACTGCTTAACAACTCACTATCCACTAAGATGTTTCTGGAAACTGCTTTGATTTTGAGAACCTTGTGCTGACCGAGGGTGTAGCGTGGGGACAAACAAGGATAGTACAGGTAACAGACATTTGCCCCATCTCAGCCCTACCCTAGCACATTATATGATGTCAGACATCACATCCCTTCTCAAGGCCTCACTGTCCTCTTTTGTGAAATGAGGGGGACAGACTAGACCTGGGCAATTTTGAAAGTCCATCCAGCTCTCAACTTCTATTAGATAACGTCCAGCTGTCTTCTTACCTGACTGTATTGAATGAGAGTCCTAGTTTGGAGAGGTTTCTTACGTTCAGCCATGTAGACAGTAAGTCCTGGGCTTTCTATTTGTATGCTCTGTGTTCTTGACATGAGTCTCTTCTCACCCACCTGGTTTGTCTTCCCCTAAAAGAAAACTGGGGAGAATCCACATCCACCCACATCATCCATACAACCAGAAGAAGTCTTTTCCTGGGCTGTGGCAGCCGCATAGGGACTTGTCATCTGAAGTCACACCCTCACTAGCTTCACATTCTGTTGTAATCCAGTAATTCCTTCCGTCACATGAAGCATTCTGTTCTGGAAGGAGAGCTGAACCAAGGCGTATGGTGTCATGTCCACTTTCAAGAACAAGAGTTGGCAAAACTAAGAAATGTATATCATTATGAAAGGGTGGTAGACAATGAAGATTCCTTTGAGTTGAACTTTTCTTTGGGAGAAAAGTCATCATAATAGAAGAACTAGTTGATACAAAACTGGATTCTAAACCAGAGAATCCCTGATGAAATCTAGTCCAGAGCTGGCCAGAGAACAGGCAAGAGCTGAATTGCTTCATTTGCTTCTGTCCCGTGTCAGCCTCTTGAGATGGGAACATCAGGGTTGCAGGAAGAGTGGAGAGCATCCCTGCAGGTGGGCTTCAAGCCATGTCCAGATGTGGTTTGATTTTATGCATTGTGCACTTACCGTCCTGCATTCCCAGTGTCTGCAATGCTAGTTAGAACCTCAATAGGTGACGTTACTAATGGTTGTTCCCAACAAGCTCTCTAGTTAAGATACAGTCCTAGAGGTGCTTGACCCAGGACCCTGTGTGCACGACAGGAGAAGGGACTTCTCCAGATCCACCTGCTGGTCTGTGCATGCAGCAACACAAGTCCCTTCCACACACAAGCCTGAGTAATGGGGATGGAACTCCTTGGAGTTGACGGGTCAGAAGATGCAAGGGAGAAAGAGCCTTCTCAAGGGAGCTCTGTTCTCAGCAGAACAGTGGAAGCAAATGGAAATGTGTCTGCAGCTCCTCTGAAACCTTTGGGTTAAAGGGGAGCAGAAGCATTGAATGGTCAATGTTTTCCAGGATGGGCCCTACAAAGTAAAATGATCACCAAATGTCTTTCCACAGTGCCACTAGTTTGCAGTGTGCTTGGCAGCACATCATTCCCCAGACTAGCAGTAGGTGTGACAGTCAAAGAAAGCCGAGAGCCTGGCCAGGGCTCAAGGCTACAGATGGGCCTGTGGCTTGCCCAGGTTCCTTCCTTCCAAGTTATAGTCAGGCTCAGGACTGTGTGTGCTATGAACTAATGCTATTCTCTTTCTCCTCACTCTCCACATCTGGTTCTGCATCCCTTTGCCTCTTGCAGTGAGCATGCCCACAAGTGAGACGGAATCTGTCAACACTGAAAACGTGGCTGGCGGTGACATCGAGGGAGAAAACTGTGGGGCCAGGCTGGCGTGAGTAGGCACGGCGAGTCGGGGGGCTGGGGAATTTCTTGGGAGGTGGGCTGGGAAGCGGGGTCCTTCAGTCTGAATGGGTTGGCTCATCACAAGGCGAAGTAGAAACTAGAGCTTGCAGCAAGAAGCCAGCCACAGTTCAGGTAGTTGAACGGTGTGAGAGAAGAGAACCTGGGTGATGAGGGTGGCCCTGAAGGTTGAGTTTAGTGTAATCTTAAAATGACATCAGTCTTCAGCACAGCGCTTGTTCGGGTGGCTGGCTCTTGAATTGAGAGCTTCTTTTGCATCACATCAGAGTCATATAGAATGTGAAGAAGGCCTCTAAGGTCTGTTTCTGTCCAGTCCCTCCCTGCTTCACCAAGCTACTCCTTGTATTATGATCAATGACTAAGAAATACAGCAAAAAAAAAAAAAAACAGGTAGGAAAATACCTTTAGCAATGAAAGCATTTTGGTCCTTGTGTAAAACATTTAGTTCTCCTCCTAAATAAGGGGGCACAGAAGTACCTAAAATGTCACTTAGCTTAGAGTAAGGCCAATCCCTCCTCTAACCAAAGACCACACTTAGAAGTTCCCATCTTCCCTTTGCTTGTTAAATCCAAATCTCTGGCTCTTGTGAGCTGGCTTTGGGCTAGAGGTGGGCTGAGTGTGGAGGCTCAGGGCGAGTGGCAGTAGGAGCAACTCCCACATGAATTCTCACAACTGCAACTGTTAAAACCTATCATTCCTATGAAACATCTCCTCCCCACAAAATGAAGGGGAGATGGTATAACTGCTAAAAATAAGCAAACTGCAGGTGTAGCTATCAGGGTTTCAGAAAACAGCCTCTGCACATCACCCTGAACATGAAGCCTGCTACCATTCAGGGTCCTCCTGAACACAGGTTACCTACTTTTCTGGTTGCCTTAAGATATGACTGTAACTTCATGCTAGTCACAGGCAGGAACTGTCAACAGGAGGCTCTAAGCAGGAACTGCCACCCGGAAATGGAGTTTTTTCAATTGCTTCCCAAAGGGAACCATTTCTTGTTTTACTACCCTCTTCCCACCACTCCACCTCTGAAATGACTCAATAACCTGGGCCAACCTCAGCCTTAGGAAGGCGTGCTGTGACTTAGTCTGCCCAGAGCAAGAGTGGCCATGAGCATGGCTGCCTTGCCACTGCAGGGGAAGGGGAGGCAAGACTCGGGAACAGACTAGCCCTTGCAGCCTCTGTTTCCAGCACAGGGAACAGCGGGATCACTTACTGTGACAGGGGCACCAGGGAGTCTGCACTGCAGGTTTCTCAGCATTGTTGGGAAGCAATTATTGTCACAATGTTGTTAAAATATGATGCTAATTACATTTTTAAGCAGCAGTCCAAGCCTTCCCCTTCTTCTCTTCTTTTTGGAATCATATAAAACAAGCACTAGAGTGTCTGGAAGTGGGCTCCAGACAGCAACACTGTGGGAGGACATTAGAAAGCCTTCGAATAAGTTCTAGACCTTTCTCTTATCTTGACACTGAGAGCAGGGTTACAGAGTAGACCTTCAAGGACCCCATGACTCTGGCTTTGGGACATGGCCCAGGTGGCACACCACTGGGCATGCGGGAGCTGGCAGTAGGAAGTCAGTTGAGAGGGTGAGGCTCTGTTGGAAAGGTGATGTGATTATCTGCTGAAGAGGGAAGCTGGCAGTTCCTAGTCTGTCGTTTCCTCGGAGCATGGATTCACCAGGCTTCAGAGCCCTGCAGAAATGCTTTCTAGTATCCCAAATGCATACTCCATGAATACATCTACTCTGTGCACACAAAATACCCAGTACAGTGCCAGAATTCTGATGTGTTCTTCATAAATCGTGGTCGTTCTTCATTTCCGTGTTCCAAACCGTGATGGGGTAGGGTTGTGAGAGACACAGCATGAGAATAGTCCAAGGGGTGAGACAAGGAGGTGGTGAGAGACCAGGATGTACAAGTTCAGAGTCTTGTGTGACATGATGAGGGCAGAATGAGGACTTCCAGACACTCAAAAGGCCCAAGAAGTGGTAGTCCCTAGGGTGGAGGGAATGTGCTAGGGTCAAGATATAAATTGGCACCCATATGAGATTCCAGTGCTTGCAAGGGGAAGTTAGCCAATTGAACCCGGGCCTATCATATGTGAGTTTTTTTTTTTTTGAGAACTTTTTGAAAAGCCTTCATATTCATAGATTTAAAAGTTTGGAGCACCACTATGCTTTTATCTTTTGATTCCATTTTCTGCCACCTTTCTGAAGTGCCTTTATAGTTGTCCATTTGTCCATAGAATGCCCAGCTGGGTGATAGGGAAGATGGCCAGGATACCTTTGGAATTTCCCACTTAATGGGAAGTGACACTCAACTAGTGATTAGGGGGTTATGGATTGGGATTAGCGTAAAGAAGGACAAGTGAATATAACAGGGGAGGGTTGAGTACAGAAGAGGCTACGGAGCAGGATGGGAAAAAAAGCTGCTTTGAAGAATAAAAGAGGAACACATCCTGTGGGGGTGCCATGCTCTGAGGCCCAACCCCAACCCCCCCCAGGGAAGCTGTGGGGCCAATTTGGCTTTTGTTTCAGCATGCTCTCAATTGCAGGCTGTGGGCTGGGAACCACTTGCAGTGGCTACCGCTGAAGGTAGCTCTGTTCCTCTCTCTGAGTCATTGGGCTTCCATGTAAGATTCTCTCTGCATCTTGCAGCTTGAGACTGCCTACTAGGGGTCCTCAAGGTGCCCAAGGGTCCCCTTTGCCTCTGAAGAGAATGTGGGAGTCAGACTAAACCACAGCAGTCATCTCATCCCAGAAGAGCAGAGTTAGGGGTTACAGGAGCACAACAGCCACTGCACTGAGTTTGATTGCTGCCCAGCGTGGAGGCTATGTTGGTAACTGACATCAGCCACACAGTTCAGCAGACTGGGCAAACTCTGAAGCCTGGGAGAGCTCAGGACTAACAGCAAGGATGGTCCAGGGGCACAGGCTCCAGGAGTGCAGGCATTGCAGAGGACCAGGGGATATGGGAGTTTGTGTGGTGTTGAGAATGACCTTGGTATGACCATAGACCCCTGCTGAGTACCAGCGGACAAGTGTTGGGTGAGTGTTGGAGTCTAGGAAGGGTGTGATCAGAAGGACCTGGGGAGGTTTGGGAAAGGAGCAAGTGGGTAACAGAAAAGCAGATCCTGGCTGGAGATGAGGGACCACTCAGCACCCAGTGCTGGGCAGTGACAGGTGCAGGATGTGCCCTTCCTGGCAGTCACAGGCTGGCTGGCGATGGAGCTGTGGAGTATAGGGGCTGAGTCAGACAGCTGCCTACGTGGATGTTGACTGCAGTGCCATCTGACTTATGTTAAAGGCAAATTTGGGCCAATTCACAGAAATACTATTTCACACAGCAGGTAGTAATCATATGGTGCTCATTACTCTGAGAGGAAAGCCTTGAAAACATAATAGATCCCAAGAAGTTCAAGTATTTGTTAAACAATGACAAATGCAAATTGAGTAACTATACTCTCTCCCCCAACTCCCCCCAACAAGAAAGTTGTGGGTTTGTCTCTAATTTCAAATCTCAACAACAGGGGAGAATATCTTGGTCTTCCAGAAGTTTAGTCTTGGAAGCCTGGATGGAGAAAGAATCTTGGGCAGAATTAACTCTGGGTCTAACCATCTGGGGCTGTTCTGATGGTTTCGTATGTTTGTCATTAATTTTATCTCCTCTGTGTTTTTGCAGAACCTTCTTAAGCACAGGATGAGGAGGGGGCTTCATTAGACTGAGGGATGCACAAAGCCAAGAACTCCTTGGAACAAGCTGTGTGTGTCCCGCAGGGGCTGGGAGGAACTGGTGGTCTCTCCTGCTCTTGCAGAGACTTTAGAAGTGGGTGAGAGAGGAAGCACATACTAAAGGTGCATTCAAAGTGGGCCGGGAGTTGAACCCAGGCACTCCAGCTTGACATCTGGGTGCCTCAAGTGGCAGTGTAGTCCGTGCCAGTCATAAAAAGGCATGCGTGTTTCAGGCCCTGTGAGTCAATGTTCCTTGTCTCCCCATACTCAGGACTTGTCTCACACATGCCAGAAGACAAGGAGGCACCCGTGGCCCCTGAGCATGCTTGAACTAGGGCCACACTTCCGCCGTGACCCTCCTGTAGACTCAGATCCCATTTGTTTCCTGAGAGAATACACACGCTCATGTTTAGACACACGGGGAGCTTTTAAAAATCCACTTTTGCTTGTTAGCCACTTGTGAAGGGCACCTTGCAGAGACAGCTGGGACACAAGGTCCTGAGGGCCTGGTCCAGCTTAGAAGGCAGTGACAAAGCTGTCACCCTGGCCTCTGCAGAGCAGCGAGGTGGGATGCCATGTGACCCAGGAGGAGCCTGGGCAGGATGCTAAAGGTCCTGTGCTCAGCAGGGCCCCAGCAAAGAGGGGAACCCCCGTTCCCTATCACCCAATTAAGCAGCAGAGAACCACTCCCCCATAGGCTTGGCTCTAAATAAAAATGCTGCCCCTGGCTCTGGGGCCGCCCACATGCTTTGTTAGCAAGTGATTAAAGCCTGCAGGCCTGGCAGGCAGTCTTTGGGGGTGGGAAAAGGTTATTAGCTAAGGATTCTGAGCAGTAAAGGCACTTGGCTCTGATCCTCCATGCCCCAGAGATATAATTACCTCATGCACGATGGTTCTGCCACCTGTCACATCTTCTGCTTTCATATTTTTTTTAAATAAAAACAACATGAGGGGTTGGTGTTTGCTGGCTACACAATCCAGCTTGCTGTGTGCTGGCTTGGAACAAGACAGGTTTGCCACAGTCAGCTGAGCTCCCAAACTTGTCCAGTCTTCTTTCCTCTTCTTGCCCACATCTCCCCTTCACTGAGACTTTCTTCCCCAGCCCTTCCTCCCCATCTTGCTTGGCCTTCTGAACATTGGTACTGCACAGTGCCAATGCCTTTATCTGAGCACCAAGTGAGGCCAACACATACCTTCACGTTTTTGCATTCAAATGCTCTTGCTCAGAGCCTCTATGAAGGTTCAGCCTTCTAGTTGGAAGGCCCCCTGGATGTACACTAGGATGGCTTCAGGGCCCCCAGCATTCTGGCTTTCTCCTTCAGGCCCATTTGCAGCTCTAGGGTGGCTGCAACTATGACCTCCCCATCCCCGGATGCTCGTTTTTCTCATCATCACGTCCTAAGCCAGCTTTGGTCATGCTTTGGTGGGCAGCAGTGGAGGCCAAACTGAACCTGCTGGAGTGGTCCCTGTCAATTCTACCACCATGTCCTTTTCATCTTTGAAGAGATCTTCCCTTGCTCTGCGGCTTTTCCTCAGATGCAACTCTTCCCAGCTTGACCTCACAGGACTGGCCGAGGAGACCCTAGTCATCTGAGGGCATGGTGAGAGGGTTGCCGATGCCCAAATGATGCCCACTGGGCTGTCCCAGCCCACAGTCATCACGTGCAGATGCACAAGTGGTGCATTCTTTCTCTGTGAAGTTGTTTGAATATACATGGTGTATTCCTGCGGGGACGTTACATTCAGCTGAGATGTCTGAGATGGAGAAGAGTCTGTGCTCATCCTTTGCTCATGCATTCCTTTTTCCTTTTCAGCCACCGGATCTCCAAGTCGAAATTCAGGTGAGTGCTAACACATGGCTCCTCTTTCCTTCTCATCACCAGTGTCACCCTCAGCCCAGGATGAAACTTGCTAGATCGAATGCAGAGGCAGGGCTGCTCTGCCACAGGGGTCACCACTTCCTGGACTTTGAGAACCTGCTGGAGCCTGCCATAGACCAACCATTCAACCACGATCTCTCACACTGGGAAGGGTCCCTCCTTCTGCAACCCCCAGGTGTAAATCACCTGTTTGCCTGAAACGCTTATTCCTAGCTGCTCTCATTAAGCTCCTTTCAAGTGAGGAGACTGAGCATCCGAGAGGCCAGGAGTCACCCGTTTCATGTCCAGCTAAGTTAGAATTCATACCCAGGAGCCCTGCTGCTGTTTACCACGACAGCTGGTGGCACAGCTGTTGCGTCTGAGCACAGAGAACGAGAACACGAGAGCAGTGCCTCTGCGTAGAAATACATACTCATAGTTTGCTAGAGACAAGCATTTGGCAAAGCAGTTAAGATGCTGCTGAAGATATCTTGGTCCTATGTTAGAGAGCCTGGTTTCCAATTCCAGCTTCCTGCTAACACCCGGGAAGGCAGCAGTGATGGCTTAGATGGCTGGGTCCCTGCTGCTCCCATGGGAGATCTGGACTTAGCTCCTAGCTTTCATCCTGGCATGGCCCCAGATGTTGGAGTCACCTGAATAGTGGAGCAGTGGATAGCAGGCATACTTTCTTACTCACTGTGACTCTCTCTTTCCATAACATTTCTAGTAACTGTTAAATCTTAAAGGACTTGATAACTTATATTTAAGCTAATATATTTATAACACTATTATTTCCACACGAAATGAATATACAAAACTTAGTGAATGCTTGAACATGTACACTTTGAACTGGGTCTTTGAAATCAAATGTATGTTTGGCACAGAGAGTACATCTCAGTTTGAACTGGCTGCTGCTTGATGCATAGCAGCCACATGTTGCTTCTGGCTACTGCATCAGGCCATGCAATTGTAGCAGTCCAGAAAAGTCATCTAATTCAGATCCTAGAGATTCCAGCTAATGCCAAAGGCTGCTAACAGTTTGAAAATGGCACCAAAATGATCAAATGGAGCTTTTAGGCCAAATTCAGCAGATTCATTGGCTTATTATATTAAGGCCATAGTAGGGATTTTTCTCAATAACCCAGGCTTCTAAATAAGGAATATGTAGTAATTGAGACTCACTGCTCAGAGTAGGCTATACCTATTCATGGCACAAGTGATAAATACAGCCGTGTGAAAACCATTGTGTTCATCAATGGCCTGTTGGGGTCTGGGCTACACACACACACACAGCAGAGCCACGTGGGAGTTAAGATCAGGCAGTCTTCAGTTACGTGTGCTTCCCATTGCCTCCTTGTCTCTTTCAGCCAGGGGGCAACAAGGCCCAATTTATAGTTACCCCATTTTAAGAAAGAGTCGAAGAGTTAAATCTCATGATTTTCTGAGTTGCTTGTTCTTGATTACATTAAAGAGAAGATAGAAACTTCCTCCAGCCCCAAGACAGAACCTTGGTGTCAACTGTTTTGTTATCACTCCCTGTCTAAGATGCTCATGGGTGGGGACAAGCCATGCAAACCCCCATAGGAACATTGTCCTCAGCCCCATCCTTACTCCCAAACCTCTAAAGCCTCATAAATCTCTGTTGTCACCACTGCCACACCAACCTGTCCACTCGGCGTTGTAGCGTGTGAGATGGGGCTGTGCTGAGTACCATGAGCCAGAGTGAAGTATGACATAGGCCCTTCTCTCTCATGGATCTGATCATCTGACTGGTCAGGCAAGAATCATGGCAGGAACAGATGACTTTGATCCTGGCATGTGTGGCTACTGCACCAGGCAATTCAAGGGCATGGGAAAGTTTTCCTGGTATCTCCAAGTGTTCCCATGGCACCTGTGAGTGGCATGTTCTATTGTGAGAGCTTGCTTGCTGCTTGGGATCTTTGTCCAAGTTTTGGGCAGACAGGGACTCTGCCTGCTGTATGAACTGTGGTCTCTCCAGCACCTGACCCATCACAGATGTTGGTACAGGCTTTGTGAATATGCCACTAAAATGAGTGATGCAGAAAGTAACTTCAGTTGGGGGTGCCACCTGCTGGGGAGACTAGAAAGCATCTCATGGAGAAGCTGGGGCTCAAGCTGAGCCTTCAAGCTGGACAGAGCAAAGAAAGCAGCAAGCCCCAATGCAAGGAGGAACTTCCATGCTAAGCAAGGCCCAGGGCTGGGAGAAGGGCAGGAGTGTCCAAGTTCAGAGAAGTGGATTAAACCCATTTGCCTCATTCCTTCTCTGTGTGCCCAGGGATGGTTCTGTTTCTCGAGTAAATGGCTTCCAGTAGTGAAAAGGCACATGAATAGAAGGTGAATTTCTCCTCCCTATTTTATCATTTAATTTTTATATCCTCTGTGCACATGTAAACATACAAATAAATTTACACGTTACAATAAACCATTACATTTATTATACAGTAGGAAGTGTTGCCAGGAAACCAGTTGTCAAGCAAAGCTGTATTTTGAAGAGTGGGAGGTGTGTAATTATCTTTAAATACTTTCTCTGGGTAGTAATTACCCCACCCTCACCCCCACCCCAGCCTGAAATCCTCGTGACTCCCTAAAGTGCCCTATGTAGGAACAACCTCCCCCTACCTTAACTGTGCTCTGAGGAGCAGTCCCTTCTGTTGTCACTCCCCTGGGATACCCTTGCAGAGCAGGGCCAGAGCCATGTGGCAGGCCTGAACTTGCAGCCGCACACCTGCTGCACCAGCCTCAGCCTCTGGGGGAAGAGCAATATAAAGTCCTTGGAATGTAGCTAACTCCAGGGTAGAGCCTACACATGGTGAAAGCCAGCTAGGGTGACTGCTTGGGACTCCAGATAGCCATTATCAGAGTCTTTGCAACTACAATGTGGGCTGCTTCATGGCAGATTACAAGACTGTCCTAAAAATTCATTTGTCAGGAAAAAAATGACCCTGCCAAGTTTTGTACAACGTGAGTGGCGATACCCCCAGGAAAACAGCAGAGCAGTCCTCTGTCAAGATAAGACTGTTCAGCTCAGAAGATCACCTCTTGCTATGCAGTACCTGCCACTCTGTCCCACTCCTTTGTCCCTCTCACACCCCCACCCAGCCCCATCCTTAATGTTGTTGAGAGTGAGATATCTGGAGGTGATGAACATTCCCAATGCCTGTAGCCTCCTGATCACCTGGTGCTTCCTCTGGCTAGAGAATTTCCCCAGGCTGTTGATGCCTGGTATTCACTGGCAATGGCAGCCAAACAGCCCATGACCCTCAGGTCAGGTGAGAACATCACCCAGGTGGCCACTTCCTTTCCCTCCCTGCTGTAAGCCCTCCTTGCATTATGGAGGAAAGAATCCCTTTCTCCCATTCTCCCTTGCTGTTTTCAACTTCAGCAAATATTGGGTACCTGAATTTTCTACAGATTCAACAGAAATCCAGGTGAGGCCAAGCTATCCCCAAAGGCAACTTGATGGGTGGGCACAGGGATCCTAGAATGTGGGATTTTGGAGGGATATCCATTCCAGAAGTAGAAGTGTAAGGTTTGGAAGGACAGAGTATCTAACTCCTACAACTGATCCTGTGTCTGCTTCAGACACATTTGCACAGAGATCTGGACTCAGGTGCTTCTGCTGGGATGCAAGGTCTTACTCAGTTTCACTATGCTGCAGGAGAAAGCTCATGTGCATGTACTGCTACACACACACACACACACACACACCTAGAACAGTTATCTTCTCCACATAGCATGGTGCTTGTTAAATGTGTGGTCTGCTGCTTTTCCAAATCTAACTCTGTTTTCCCTTTATAAAGAGCATGGAATTCAGGATGAGTCCTACGATCTTTTACCATCGAATGATAAAATGGGGCAAGTTTCATGGTTTGCAGCCCTAATCTTACATTAGAACACCTTGAGGACTTTTTAAAGGGCCCAGCTCCCAAAGAATTGGGTTCCATTGCTTAATGTTGAAGTCCAGGTACTGGGAGGATTTCTTTTGTGGGGAGATGGCTTAAGGTTTCCAAAGGAAAGGTCTGAACGCTGACCAAGGTGCTGATAGTCCATGACTGGGAATACTTGGTGGACCTTGGATGAGCTGCAGTCATATGAAAAGGTTCATGAGTGTGTGTGTGTTTGAACAAAGGTTATAAACTTCCAGGTTCTCAAAAGAGTCTATAACCCATGCAAGCCAGGTATCTTTGTCCCCTATTGTCCTTTGCTCTGGAGGCAGCATGCAGTACAGGCCAGAGACAGGAGCAGGAAGACCATATCTGCTTCTGCCACTCCGATATTAGTCAAGGAATCCCTCCTCCAAGGCCTTTGGTTATCTTCATTGCCACACCAGGAAAACACCTGTTTTGCAGAATCCTTAAAGAGCTGGGGAGACATCTCAGGAGGGACCTAATATGAGTGCTGGGCAAATGTCTGATTTATGGTAAGCACTACTGGTCCTATCCTTACTGCTGCTACTCATGGTACTCAGGGTGCTTCCAGCAGTGCTGTTGCGGAAGATATTTCCACAGATGAGCACCTTGAGCTCTAGACATATGTATTTGATGGCATTTTATCAGTACTAATCGCAATCCTGTGAGGTTAATCACATTCCCATTGCACAGATGGCAGGACTGAGGACTAGAGAAGGCTCACTAATGGCTCAGTGGAGCAACCTTGTTAACTGGAAAAAAGTGTTTCCCCTCGGCACCAGACTGTGCCACTCTGGCAAGGCCAGGTGGGAAGAATATGATTGTACAACCATTCCCACCTTTCCTTCGTACTGCTTTTGCAGCCGCTACTGGCGCCGGTGGAATCGGTTCTGCAGGAGAAAGTGCCGTGCTGCTGTCAAGTCAAATGTCTTCTACTGGCTTGTAATCTTCCTGGTCTTCCTCAACACACTCACCATCGCATCTGAGCACTACAACCAGCCCCACTGGCTCACAGAAGTCCAAGGTGAGTGACATCCCTACCTCTGCCCCATTACTCTTGCTAACAGCTCTGAGTCCCAGGGAGGGGCCCTATCCTAGACAGCCGGGTGACAGAGAAGCAGCCCGTGGCTTTGGCTCTGGGTAAGGGTCAGGCTGGAGTCTCTGAGGACCTGGCGGCTCACAAGCCCTGCAGGAGAGTGCCCAGTCTCAGTGGGAACAGACGTGGCTCACATGAGTGGGCTCACACCATCTGCCTGTCCTCAAACTCACTGTGGGGGCCAGGTGGTGACAAGGACATGAGCGGCAGCTTGTTTGGCTAGCTCAGATCCTCAGCTGCCAACTTCCCAGCCTCAGGCATTAGGCAAAATGTGCAAAAGGGTAGAAGGTGTAAAACATAGATCTGAGCCCGAGGACTTGTCCTCTCAGGCAGTGGGGAGGGCTCTCTTGGCCTTACCTTCTAGGAAGCCATGCAGCCCTGCAGGCTGAGGACTGACCTCCAAAGCCCTAGGAGGCAGGTGGCCTCAGGGAGAAGAGGGCAGGCTCAGACAGGTCGAACTTGGCATGTCAGAGTCCTCCTTTGGCTCTCATTTCTTGAGCTGAGCACCAAGGAAAGAGAGTGCATACAAAGCCTTCAGGACATAGCAGCTTCCCAGCACATACAATGTTTTCCTGATGGCTCCCTTGCTCTCCAGCTTGGCTCCACTCATCCTGCTCTGATGGGAAGCTGGGGGAGGAGTGGGTGCCTTGTAGATAGGGGTTCTCTTCTCATGGTGATTGGAATGACCACTTTGTTGCTTCTCCTGTCCCATCCCTGCTTGGTTCTTCCTGCTTTGGGGGACTGCCCAGACACAGCCAATAAGGCCCTACTGGCCATGTTCACTGCCGAGATGCTACTGAAGATGTACAGCCTGGGCCTGCAGGCCTATTTCGTGTCCCTCTTCAACCGCTTTGATTGCTTCATTGTGTGTGGAGGCATCCTGGAGACCATCCTGGTGGAGACCAAGGTCATGTCCCCCTTGGGCATCTCTGTGTTGAGATGTGTGCGGCTTCTGAGGATATTCAAGATCACAAGGTATGTGGCCCCTCCTTGTCCTCTGGAGATGAGATCTGGGAGAAGTTCTGGAAGGGAAAGGAGGAAGAGGAAAGGCTGCAGTTTCTGGAAGGTTCTGTCTTCAGTTCATTTGGAACAAAGGGAAATTGATAGTTTGGAAGATCCACTGGCTGTATCAGAGTTTGGTGCAAACAAAGCAGGAATTTCTTCTGCCACATGAGAGAACTCTAGAGACAGGCAGTCACAGTGGCTTTAAGAATGTACCTGAGACTGAGTGTGCTTCTGCCCTTTGCTACAAGAGCCTCGGTGGTGATCCCATGTGATGGTCACCAAACAGCAGAAAAGAAAAGGAGCTTAGGGGGTGACCCATCCCAACCGAATTAGCCTCTTGATTCCCAGAATCTCTCCTAGTCACACCCACTAGCCCTCCATCAAAACCAAACCAAACCAAACCACAGAAAGTAACACGTCATGATGAGGGTGTATAGAGGGAACTCTTGTGTTGCTGCTGGTGAAAACACAACATGTGCTGAAACCTCAAAGCAACCATGGAAAATGGTAGAGCTGTAGCCAGAAAAATCATGAGTGGAATTACCACGGTCTTCATCCATTCTACTCTGAGTGTGTAGTCCAAAGGGTTGAGATCAGGATGTAGAATGAGTATTTGTATACCTGTGGTCATTGCACCATTATTCGCTAAAGCAAAAATGTGGCAGCACTCATGGTCTCCTATGGTTATTGAATAAGCAAGGTGTGGTATTATCTCTGCAGCAGAACGTTATTTTGCATGTAAAGGAGTGGGAGTCTGCTATATGCTGCGACATGGGCAGCTCTTGAGGACTAACTGAAATAAGCCATTCACAAAAAGACAAGGGCTGCACGATTCCATTTGTCAAATAAATAAAATAAACAAAATTGAAAAAAAAAATCATGAGAGACAGTAGAATGGTAATCAGCAAGGGTTGAGGTCTTTCAGTGAAAGACGAAGAGTTCTTGCGAGGGAGGAAGCGGGGCTCCCAAGGTGTTTCCACTAAACTAGTCTGTCTAAAAGCGGTTGTGATGGTGATCTTTGTGCTGTTTCTATTTTAGCACAGTAAAGAAATAGTGGTAGGGGGGGAGAGTCTGCCAGAAATATCATCCAGAATTTCTGTTCACACTGGCTGCCCCAGCTGTTAGGAAGGATGTCAAGTTCTTTTAGCTATGGAAGAGACGCAAGAGATGGTGCCACAAATGCCTTTCTTCTCAGCAACCAACCAGCACACACATTGAGTTACACTGGAGATGAGTCATTGGAAGCATTGAATTCAAGGGTGGGTATTGGGTACAGTGGTTAGGATGCTGCTTGAGATGCTCAGGTCCAATGCCAGAGTGCCTGGATTTGGGTACTGGCTGTCCTCCTGCTAGCTTCCTTCTAAGGCACCGCCCAAGAGGCAGCAGGTGAGGGCTCAAAGAGTTGCATTCCTGCAGGTCTGGGCTGGGCTGAAGCCGTGAACTGGGAACTCCACCCATATCTCCCAGGTGGTTGACAGGGGTCAATTTTTTTAAAGATTTATTTTTAATTTATTTTTATTGGAAAGTCTTGGAAAATCAGATTTACAGAGAGTGAGAGACAAAGATCCTCTATCTGCTGGTTTATTCCCCAAGTGGTTGCAATGGCTGATCCAAAGCCAAGAACTAGGATCTTCTTCCAGTTCTCCAACACAGGAGCTTGGTCCCAAGAACTTGGGCCATTCTCCAAGGCTTTCCCAGGAGCTGGGAGGGAAATGGAGCAGCCAAGACACAAACCGGCCATACATACAGGACACAGATCCTGGCATGTGCAGGACGAAAACTTTAGCCACTAGGCTGCTACGCTGGGCCTTGGAAACCAATTTTTAAGTAGTGCAACCTAAGAAAAAGTTCTAAATAAATTTGTGCTGGAACTTAAACATTTTTAAATTATTTATTTTATTATTCCATGATGCAGCTCTGTAGACTTGAGGATTTTCCCTCCAACCTCCCCAAATCACAGTCCCTCCACTAATTTGCCCCATGTTGCTAAAATAGCATAGTCCTTCACAATCAGTCATAAGTCCATCATGCTGTTTAAGTGTATCCTGACATTGTTGGTGTGACATTCCAGAAAGTACCACATCCTATTGTCAAGATACATTCAAAAATTTCATTGGGAGTCCATCTTTGATTTAGTAGCAGAGGTACGCAATGCACTGTATGTTCACATTTGTATGTGATCATCTCTACTGCAAAAGGACAAATGCCATATGTTCTCTCTGATACAAGCCAACCTTTGTGCAAAATACAAGATCAATAACCATTTCAACGCTATTTTTGCAATATCTCAGGGGGTTGATATTTTTGTTTTTATTTTCATTCATTAAAAAATTTTTGTTTTTCTTATTAATTTCTTCACTGACTCATGGATTATGCCATAGCATCGTTAGCTTCAGGAAAGTCTTTGATTTTTCTTTTGCATTTCTTCAGCAACACATTGATCATTCAGTAGTGTGTTATTTAACTTCATGTTGTGAATTTTCTATTTTTCTCTCTTACTGATTTTGTTTTATGGCTTTTCATTTATAGGAATGTATAATAATTGTGTAGTGGAGATTATCACATACAGATAACATTTTTTAACTATTTATTTTTATCGGAAAGGCTGACTGACAAAGAAAAGGAGAGACAGAAAGATCTTCCATCCACTGGTTCACTCCTCAAGTGGCCACAACAGCCCAAGCTGAGCCAATCTGAAGCCAGGAACCAGGAGATTCTTCCAGATCTCTCATAAGGGTGCAGGGTCCCAAGACGTAGGGCCATTCTCTAATGCTTTCCCAGGCCACAAACAGGGAAGTGGAAGGGAAGCGGAGCAGCCAGAACATGATCCAGCACACATATGGGATCCTGGCACATGCAAGATGAGAATTTTAGCTACTGCACCAGGCCCACTTTTTTTTTCTTTTAAAATTGAGCAATTTTTAAACAATTTTGCCTCATTCATTTCATATGTAGACACTATCTATACATGTACGCACACATATATTTTTATATATACCATTTTATTAAGAGGAATATCAATATCACAAGGTGATATTCCTGACATGCTCATGTGTAGAAAGTATATATTATCACATTCACGGTATGATTCAGTAAAACAGTATTTATGACTCTATACCAAATGATATGACATTCACACAATTTCCCTATGCTGATATATTAACTCACAAATAAGCGAAAATCTGTGATATTTGTCTCCCTGGGTCTTACTTTTTTTAAAGACTTGCTCTATTTATTTATTTGCAAGGCAGAGTTAGAGAGAAAGGGAGACACACACACACAGATTCAAAGGTCTTGCATCTGCTGGTTCACTTTCCTTGTGGCTGCAACAGCTAGGGCTGAGCCAAGCTGAAGCTAGGAGCCAGAAGCTTTATCCAGGGCTCCCACATGGGTGCAGTGGCCCAAGCCCTTGGGTCATCCTCCACTGCTTTCCCAGGCATGTTAGTGGGGAGCTGAATCTGAAATGTGGATCAGCTGAGACTTGAACTGGTACCTGTGTGGGAACCAGCACTGTAGGCAGATGCTTAACCTACTTACCACAGTGTTGGCCACTGGGTCTAGCTTAAAATAATAAGTCTAGTCCCATCCCTTATGTTGCAGATATCATTATCTCAATTTTTTTCTGGCTGAATAATATTCTATCCTGGATATATCACACAATTAAAAAATAAAGATGGTGCCTTTGTGACACCTTCAGTCTTAGTCCATTACATTCTCAACTACTTTTGTGAGTCCATGAGGAAGGCGTGGACATCCAACCCATGCACACTGCCTGGAGAGAGCAAAAATGTGAGAAATGATCTGGAAGTATGTATGTGTTTTATGCATGTGATGTTCTTGCAGCATATCCTCTGTGTGTGACTCTTTTCCATCCTGTGTGTGTGCTGAGAGTGCAAGCCCTGGAGCCCTGCACTGGCCTGCCAGTCGAGGGCTACCATGTGTTCACTGCTCAGTGGGCACAGTGCTGTGGCAGGGATGGGAAGGTTCAGGCACACAGAGCCCCAGCTCTCTGTAAGAACAGAAGCCTGTGTGTTTGGGCAAAATCTTTACCATTTGAGTGAATTGTCTAGAACGGCACGTCTTCCAGCTGTGTGAAGGGTTGGGTGATTTCTTCCACCTTGAGATTTTCAGAGTCCCTAAATGTTGCTAAAACATCACATCTTTGTTGGCCCTGTCTGATCCATCATTCTGGGAGGGTAAAGCAGAGCCTCTGATTAGTTAAGGCTAGCTGTGATCCTGGTTTCCTGATCACATTCACTGTTTCATGCAGTTTGCTAACATTACAAGATCTCGCCAGAAATGCTCTCCCCCCATCCCATTAGACCTTCTGGACCCACTCCTCCCCATTCCAGGCCCTGAATTAGGAGTGGGGCTCATGACCAGCAGCAGAACCCCTCAGAGCCTTGAGCTGGGAGCTTCCAGCACACTAGGTAGGCTCTGAATGGCCCCTGCTAAACCGCAGCCCATACCTGCACCTCCCCAACTCTGCCTACTGTCTTCCAACCCCGAGTCTTCCTGGGACACATGGGACCCCCCTGAGCCCTTTAAGGGATGTTAGGAAGAAGGGACACCATCACCTCCCAGTATCCAATATGCCAAGCTTCACGATGTAGAAGTGCCTTGTATAAAATGGTATGGCATATGCAAATCCTCTGCACAAGTCCTTTTAAATAATTCCAGTCATATCTAGCCTTAATGTACCTAATACAAGGCCAGGGCTACGTAACTAGTTGCCTTATGTATTACTTAGGTCTGAAGGGATGGGAGCCCTTTGTCTGCTAAAGAACATTTGGATATTTAGAACTTCTGCAGGGCCTACAATATGATCAGCTTAACACGTGGCCAGCTAGAGATTGACTGAATGTCTTGTCCTGCCTATAGTTGCCGTGGTAAGGCCAGACCAAATGAGTTTCAGGCCTCATACTGCCATGGGCCAGATCTACCCACTGCCCCAGCCTCAATGAGAATGACAAACAAGCCTATATAGGCCTAAGTTTTTCTCCCAAATATTTTTAATTCACATTTGATTGACTGTTCAGGCAGGAAGTGAATAGACATGAAGGTCAACAGTGTTTGGCATTTCCCAGTGTTCAGCCAAATATCTCTGGGGAAGGCAGCTTGGACAATTGCCAGGATCTTGCAAGGTGGTTATTCTCTGTCCTGGGGACTAAGAGTAGCACCTCCCTGGGAAGCAGATGACACTCATGCGGATGCCTTAAATAAGCTCCCTCCCTTTCGGACTCTTCCATGACTACAGGGACCAACTACGTGATCCTGAGCAGCTGCTGCTCCAGCAGGTCTGAGGGCCACCCCAAGGACAGGCTACCTCGTAGCTTGACCAAGCAATAATCCCCATGCAAATCCTGTGTGACTAAGGCATCAGATGCCAACAGGTTTAATAAAACCTGTCAACTTGTTAGCCAAGTCAAATGTGGCTCTAAAGTGAAAAACCATAAATTGGGCTTTCCAGCCCCAGTAGCATGGAGAGCATGGCGGGAACTGAACCAGTAAAGTAGGCTGTATCAGACCCATACCAAGACAGACCAGAATATACTGTGGCCTGGAATATGCTCCATATAGTCTCCTGTTACACGAATCTCTCAAGGCTCTGTTGAGTCTTAAGGCGCCAGGGCTTCCCTTTACCGTAGCTGTGTTCCAAGGACACTGGTCCTTGGTCCTGTGGCTGATGGCAGGGAGAAACCATGGCAAGGCTGAACTTTGTATGAATTTTACCTGCTTTCCAAGTTGACTTACCTGACTCTCATTTCTCCTCATTCTATTCCTTCCCGTGAAGTCCATAGCACATATATTTATCCTGTGAAATGGCCTTATATTCATCTAATAATAGACTGCTTGCCACTGAAAGTAAGAAGATTTTGTCTTCCCCCTTCAGGACATGAATGATTGTGGTAGATATAAATTTAGTTATGACCCTCTCTGGGACAGAGAGGAAGGAGAGTGGAACATGTGCAAAGCACCCCAAAGCAGTTGATACTGGGTTTTGAAGCTATTTTATTTATAGCAAGTCGAGGCTCTGTTCTATACCTAGAATGGAGGAAGAGGATGAGGCTCTGAGTTCTTTGAAGCAAAAGGTTCATGAGATGAAAGCTCCAATTCCAGGAGGGCGAAGATCTCTTCATGTTACAGAAAAGCAAGTAGACATTCCCAGGGCCCCAAAATCAGAGAGAGACTTGGAGAAGGAAAAACAAATCAAGATGAAAGTACACATGAACAATTGATGGTAGCTTCAAGCAAGAGAAGCAGAGCAAAGGAGTAGCAAAACAGAATGGGTTGGTCAGTAAGAGAAAGAACTTACAAGCAGGCTGCTGGGGGTGAGGAGATGTTAGGTAACAGAGGTGGGGATGAGGCCAGAAGCCCTCAGATGTAGCATGGTGAAGAGATGGATGGGGTCATGGTAGACAAAGATGGGCACTTTGGGGATAATGATTCGCAGCAGCTGGGGGAGGGAAAAGAACAGTTGCCACCAAGGCAAGAGTCGGGGTGGTGTGTGAGATGGGGACGGAGACTTTGCAGCTGTGAACCCCAACATCCAGTGTGGAATCTGTGGGTGCCTCAGAATCTGTTCTGAAGAGATAATGGTGCTCTCGGCTCAGCTTTCCTCAGACCTCAGGATGGTCTGTGGCCTGGATGTTGGGTACTTGGCTCTGATATGGCTCACTCCTTCCAACACTTCGTGTTGGTTTATGGATGTGTGCGTGTCACAGTTTTGACCCCTAAGGATAAAAGCCTCCATTAGTTTGTGGTTTACAAGCTGTTGGCTCATCCAGTTTGCCTCTAGCCAGTTATCCTAATGAGGAAAGTGGTTTTGGTGCATGATGAGGCCATTGGGTCAACTTCGGGGCATAATGCTAGTGCCATGGGAACCATGGGATGCTAACGAGGCAAGAGAGCAAAGATCTGTAAGTCTACCTGTCAGTTCAGTCACCCTGCTTATCCCTGGGGCTGTCACCTGGGCATCTACAAATCTATTTTTCTATCAGCAATAAATGGAGGCCCTCTTACCCAACTACTTGAGCTAGCACTGCTGTCTTCCAGAGTCTGCATTAGCAGGAAGCCAGACTCAGGAATCAGAGCTGGGAATCAAACCCCAATGCTCTACTGTGGGATATGGACATCTTGACCACTAAGCTAAACACCTGTTCTAGTTCACACTTGTGCCAAAGATAAGAAAGACAGAAGGGGAAATCTCTGGGCTCAGAGCATGCGTAGCGCACATACAAATGAACTCATATTGAGTTTCTGCTTGCAGGGAGGCTATGACTGGCAAGTAAAATTGAGCTGAAATGTGTGTAAAGAAGGGGGTTTTCAAGAGTCCAGCTTCATGGACAGGTCTGGAGAGACTGCTGCCTCCTGCATTGGACTACCTAGATTTTGATGCCTGGCTCAGGCTCCAGCAACACAGACCCCAGTAAACAAGAAAACAGCAGGAATGGCTCAAGTAGCTGAGTTCCTGCCATGGGAGATCTAGGTAGAGTCCCTGGCCCTAGTTTCAGCCTCAGTTCAGCCCCAATCATTGTGGCTATTTGGGACATAGGTGTAAGCTAGTGGATGAGAGTGCCTCCTCTCTTCTCTCCTTTCCTCTCCCCTCCTCTCCTCTCCTTTCCTCCTCTCTCTCTCTCTCTCTCTCTCTCCTTCTCTCTCTCTCTCAAGAAATTAATGTAAAATTTGAAATAATCATAAAAGATGCAGGTGGGGAGGACGTTTACATTCATAAACCACTGACCCATCTGCTCTGGCACTTAGCTCGGAGCCCTTTCCTGGAGAAGTGGCCAGATGGTTTGGGGTGATTCACATATCACCCACCTAAGCTAATGGTGAACTGGAATCTCTCTTTTTAAAAAGGCAGATTAGATTTAAGGAAACAAGGAGAAACAAAGTCTTCCATCTGCTGGTTTATTCCCCAAATGGCCACAAAGGCCAGAATGGAGCAGATCTGAAGCCAGGAGCCTAGAGATTCTTCCAAGTTTCTCACATGGTTGCAGGATCCCAAGGCTTTGCATCATCTTCTACTGCTTTCCCAGGCCACAAGCAGGGAGCTGGACAGGAAGTGGAGCAGCCAGGATACAAACTGGTGCCCATATGAGATACCAGTGCATGCCAGATGACATCATGCCAGATGCCAAACTGGATCTCGAGTGGACAACAGCAGGCGTTCAAGAGCATGAGCAAGAGCTACAAGGAAATGCAATTTTCCTGTGTTTTGCACTTGAATGTATTAAGAGTTGTGTCCCCTTGGCTACTATAGTGTGTAGTGAGTGGGACTTCTGCTCCAAGGATCCCACCCAAAGCCCTTGCCTGCTTAGGGCAGAGCTGCCTACTTGCTCACAGAGCACACGTGTGCTGAGCCATCCCTGCATGCCGTAGTGGGTATGTTAACAATCCAGGACTTCCTAAGTGTGCCTCCTTCTCAGGGTCCTGTGGGATTCTTGCTAAAAACCCAGACATCTGGGTCCCAAGCCTCAGGCAAAGAATCAGAATATCTAGAGGAATGGCTTTGACAAAGCCAAAGCCAGCATGGGAAATTTGTGGAATTTTGCTTCCCCCATGCGGGAGCAAATTTGTATCTCCATGAGACACCTGTTGTCTGGGCTGAACTCGGGGGGGAGGGGAAGAAAGAGGTTTCTTTCTGCTTCAAGACCAGCAGTGGAGGACATTAATTACTAGCGCCTTTGCAGCTGTGTGCCAAGCCCTATGCTGGGGGTGTCATCCTCCCAGTAGCCCATTGGAATATGTGTTCCTGGCATCTCTGCCTCTAAGACAGGGAGACAGAAGGAGGAAGAGCTGAGCAACCCGTCCAATGGTGCTCACAGTCAGGGGCTTCCGAGCCTGGGACCTTCCCTTGTTTATGACAAGATATGACCTGCCAAGCTTCACACTTTCACTGTAAACCTGGCCAGCCCATAACCCCCTCCCAGCCCGGCTCCAATCCTCAGGAAAGGGAAGCAGAACAAGGAGTGGGAATCCCTTTTGGGGCTTCTGTCAGGCAGATGGGTAAGTGATGGAGGACAGGCTGGCCAGAAGATAATGAAAGGGCCTCTGACCTCTCCCATGCTGGACCCTAGGTACTGGAACTCCTTGAGCAACCTGGTGGCCTCCCTGCTGAACTCCGTGCGCTCCATCGCCTCCCTGCTCCTGTTGCTCTTCCTCTTCATCATCATCTTCTCCTTGCTGGGGATGCAGCTGTTTGGAGGCAAGTTCAACTTCGATGAGATGCAGACCCGGCGGAGCACCTTTGACAACTTCCCCCAGTCTCTGCTCACGGTGTTCCAGGTACAGTTTCCTAGGGGAGGGTGGCTGACTGCTGGGGTGGTGGGGAAGGGAGGAGGGCTGGGCCTGCCCAGGGTGGCCAGCAGCTTTGCCTTTGCCACATCAATGAGCCCCAGCAGGCCTTGCGTTCCCCTTAAGGTTTCCCCTCCCCCAGGGCCCTTAGAATTCCAACTGGGGGCAGGGAGGGGGTGTACCATGCGGGCGGATAAATTTCATGGAGTAGTTTAGAAAATTCTCCTATCCATGGCATCCTGTGGTCAAGTAATAAATGGTGCATGAGAGTCCCTGAGTGCTCTGGTCAGGGAGGAGAGGCTGGCGGAGCTGTGTCTTGGCTTCCCACATTCTTGCCCAGGGTTGGGGTAAAGATGTAACTAGGCCATCAGATACTAAGGTGTCACTTATTTGAGCTCAAAATTGATTGGATGGCTAGGTTAAATTACGCAAGTGATGTTTGTTGCAGGCCAAAATATGCAAAAGTCTTAATGCCAGGAATGACTGGTGTTTGGAAATTGGGTTTGATATGGCTTAAAAACACGTTTGCAATAGTAAATCCTCCCCTCCCCGCACCCCCCCCCCGAGCTAACTGGGGGGTCACCTCATGCATTGTGTGTGGATGGTCGCAGGGGGTCAGTCCACCCTACCTGAGGATGAGTTTACACTCACCCAGGTTAATATCACAGAGTCCCTGGGGTAGAGCCTGGGGGCCAGGAGGAGGGAAAACAGTGGACAAGAGATTCTGCACTTGTGTTGGCATAGAGGGGCAGGGCAGGGGAATTTTGGGGTTTGCTGTTGGTCTAACGCTGTGTCCCTTATTGGTGGGAATGTGTCATTCAGATCCTGACCGGGGAGGACTGGAATTCGGTGATGTATGATGGGATCATGGCTTATGGCGGCCCCTCTTTTCCAGGGATGTTAGTCTGTATTTACTTCATCATCCTCTTCATCTGTGGGAATTGTATCCTTTGCTGCTGACCCCGATCCCTCAGCCTGCGGCACAATGCCAAATCGGTGTGCCTTCCAGGCCTGGCATAGGGCACAGAGCCCCAGGCATTCTGGCAAGCTTGGGGAAGGGGAGGTGTTACTGCTTTGGGGAAGATACACATCGTAGCCTAGGTCTGCTTCGGCAGCAGAGGCAGGCGTGGGTGGAAGCCCCTATCTGGGCCTGTTCAAGTGGCCTCCTTGCTCCACTCCTAGGAGGCGGGTTCTCATCAGACTCAAGGTGAACAATGACCCTAGTGTTATGGCCTGAACAGCCACTCCCCTGAACTCCTCCGAAGAGTCGGGCACTCCGCAGCTATGGGAGGGAAGGTGGGGAGCTGTTGCACCTGCTGGGGAGCAAGGGTACTCAGTGAAAGATGTCAAGCCTTTGTCCTTGAAATGACCTTTGTATCTCCTCCCTGATTTTCACTCTGTGTCTCTCCCTCTGAAGCTGCTTCCCAAGTTGGTTGGTCTCAGGCCAAAGCCGACAATGAGCTTGACCCTGAGCCAGGTCCCAGGAAGGCTATCTCCAGAGGCAGGGAGGGAAAGTGCAAATAGCGCTGGCCAGGGCTACAGGACACAGACCCCAGTTGCAGCTAGGGCATGTGTGGCCAGTGGAGCCTGCCAACAGGGCTCCCCACTCTCCAGCTGAGTGCCATCCTCTGGCGCCTCATGGGCTCTCTCTTGGCACCTACCAGTGGCGTTCATAAGATGCGCATCCCTGATGGGCATGGCTGAAATCTGAAGTGCTTGGAAAATCCAGAACTTCTAGACCTCTGAAACATTCCACACCATGAAACTCAGTTCCTTGCACAAAATGATTTAAGGAGTACCTTGTATAAGGCATGTATGAAATACAAGAGAATTTTATGTTTACACTTAGGTCCCATTAACAAAGTATCACAGCATGTCTAGGCAAATAATCCAAATTGCAAAAGAAAAAATAGAAAGAACATCTGAAGCACTTCTTGTCCCAAGCCTTTTTGGCTCAGGGGTCCTCAACAGACTGTAAGAGAATGCTACTGACTGGTAGCGGGGAATCACTCTGAATTTCATGTGGTGACACAGGCTAGGCCCCTACCACAGCCCTGGCCCCTATGCTTCCGTGCAGGAAGCCATTGCCTGTTTGGGTTTCTCCTCTCCTGTCTAGAATATGATGGGAGTTGTCTGGGCACCTGAGAGAGTGGAGGCTAACTGGTACTACCCTGAAGACCTCTTTCTCTGCCAGCATTTCTGTTGGGAGAGGAGGCAGAATGGGGAGATTTGGGATTTTCAAGTTTTACCAGCTCCAGGTGGAGCCACCAAGGGCCTTTGTATGTGTGGGTTCACTTGGAGACGTCGCAGGGACAGTAGGCCACCTTCTCAGGGCCAGGCACAATGAGTTACAGTGCCAGTGACAGCACTGTTCTCAGCAGGGAAACATGAAATGCCACAGTTCAAGGGCAAGGCAGGGCTTGCTGCCTCATTCCCACCCCAGGCTAGCCTGCAAATTCATCTGGTCTTCTAAGCCCCACAGAAAACCATAGGTGGCTAATAGGGTGGTGGGAAAGGAAGCAGGAGGGTCGCTGCTGCGCTCACCTTGAGAGGAGAACCAGTGTCGGTCAGGCTGCCTTTGCCAGGAATCTCTACTCCCATGCATCCTGTCCCCTCCCTGTCCCCTGTGCTCTCCAAACACCCCAAGGCCAAGCGTCATTTTCTTTAAGAATGGACACAAACAGATATCCTACTGAATGTGTTCTTGGCCATTGCTGTGGACAACCTGGCTGATGCAGAGAGCCTTACGTCTGCCCAAAAGGAGGAAGAAGAAGAGAAGGAGAGAAAGAAGCTGGCCAGGTAACCCTCTACACTCACCCAGGCCCAAGATCCAGAATTCTAGTTTTGGAAAACCATTGATTCCCACTGGTTGGGGAGGGAGGCTTGGATACTGGCCTCTGGGGACCCCCACTCCTAGAAGGGTCCTGAGTTTGGAATTTCTGACCAAATCGTGGACCTCTGCTGATCCTGAGTGTTGCTCTAAAGCGGGATCATTGTAGCTTGCAATCCCGGCCAAGGTGTTGCATTTCCCCCACCAGAGAAGGCATTGGAGGTGGGAATGTAGGGTGAGGAAGGAGGAAGCCAGTTTTCAGAGGGGTGGCAAACATGCAGCTTTCAGAGGGAGGCCTCCTCCCTGCTGCGTACTTCATATCTAGTGAGAAGAACATGAGACTGGCCCCCTTCACTGCACATCCTCCATCTTGATGAGATAGGCAGTGTGTTCACCTGGCACCAGCTAAGAGCTGGCAGGGCTGGAGGGTGGAGGCAAGCAGGGAAAAGTGCAGCCAAGCTCAATGGCACTTAGAATGTTTCCTGGTGGTGCCTGCAAGGACTGTGCTCCCGGCAGCCTAGCAGACCCCATGGCAGCTCCCTGTCACTCCAGTAAACATCTGTTTATCTTTTCTTCCTGCTGACCGGTCAGGACCGCCAGCCCCGAGAAGAAACAAGAGGTAGTAGGGAAGCCAGTTGTGGAGGAGGTCAAGGAGGAGAAAATTGAACTGAAATCCATTACAGCTGATGGGGAGTCCCCACCGACCACCAAGGTGAGTTGCCATCTCCCCCAAGAAGTTATGGGGCCATGGCTCAGAAAAGGGGTGAGGCCTGGTCTTCCCAAGAAGAAAGAGGGAGGCCACCGAGGGGAGGGGTGGAGAATGAAGCCTATGCACTGGAGGAGGAGAGCTGGGAGACCAAGGAGAAGACACCTGCTTTGATCCCAGTGTCTGCTGTTATCCTGAAGGGAAATGTGTCAGGGGACAAGGACACGTTTTTGAGCTCAGCCCCTGATCATTATCGCAGTTCCAGGGACACTCTGGGCCTCTAACACTCTGGAACACACCTAACTTCTTCTTCATCCCTTCCTTGGCTGCCTAGATCAACATGGACGACCTCCAACCCAATGAGAGTGAGGATAAGAGTCCCTACCCTAACCCGGAAACTACAGGTACCAGTCCCACTGAATCTTGAGCTAAATGTTAAGTGCACCTGGGATGAGCCATGAATTATGGAGCAGTGGCTTCAGTTTCTTTGTACAGATATGTGGTACTGTCTAATGTCTCCTGTCTCTGTGTTTGTTTATAGTTTCTTTATAGTGCTCATACGAGGCTGGATAAGATGATAACTGAGCAAGGCTGCTGTGTCCTTTGGAAGCTAGATTCTATGTACCACAGGGCACCTGACATTCTCTGTTGGTTAAACTCATTATTTACTTGTATACTTTACTAGTATAGCAAGTGTTGCTATGTTCTCACGTCTGCCTGTACTCTTAGTTAGAAAGCAGAGCTGGGTACAGGGGTGGCTACCACCCTCACCCCACATCCCACCTGGCAAAGCACTTACAGCTCTCTTACTGCAAAATGAGTTCACTCTGACCTTGTCTTCTCCTGCCTCTTTTTGACATGTGAATGGGATTTTAATGTCCCAGGTCTTTGACTCTCCTTGGAGATTTACTTGCCATGCTTTCAGAAGTCTCACATCCCATCTGAGCCCCAGGCTTTCTCTTGCCTTACCCAGAATGAATGATGATGATGTTGTCACCTAAAGCTTGGAGTCAACCTTACAAGGTCAAAGTATCTGTGTGTGTGTAGACCAGGCTGGTCAGCAGGTGCAGTGATGGGATGCCTTCCTCCTCTGGCAGTTCTTACAGGGACACACAGGCTCCTTCTGTGATCGCCCACTCTCACTCGTGGTCCCTCGCCCTGTTCCCTGAGCTAATTAGGTAACAGGATTGGGCATCCTGAGGCTTAGACAGAGAGGTGAGCAGGTAGATATGTCCATGTTGGGAGTATTTTGAAGTCTTAAAGTCTTTTGCAAGAGGTAGGGAAGAAGTTGTGTTGGCTGAATGAACAAACCTTAAAGTGACATTTTTTGAAATAAATGGGGGAAATTGAATATGGACTGGGAAATACATGACCGCGGATGGTTTTTATTCATCTTGTTGATATAAAAAGCTTATTCTAGTTCTGCTTTTCAAGTGCCCAGATTCTTGTTTGAATGTCTGACTTTAGAATACTTCAGCAGCTCAAGGATGGAAGCAGGAAAGAGAAATGGAACAAGATCTGCAAAATGTGAGCAGTGGCTAAGGCGGGACTGTGGAGACTTCCTGCTAAACTCGTAGGCATATGTTTAAAGTTAACAGGAAAGGGCATTAATGCAGCAAATCCCTGAGCGTGTGGGCAGGGTCTCCAACATGCAGCTTCCTGGCTTACAGCAGAGAGATGATATGGATCCACCATCTCTTCACAGCCGCCACTTACCCCCTGCCATAGTCAGGCCCAAGCCGGTTCCTCCCTCCTACATGGCTGTGTGGCAGAGCTCTTGCATCTAGGACAGTCATTTCAAATTCTATTATTTGGAATGCACTCTTGACTTTTTTCTTCTTTGTGGCTCTAATGAAATCAAAGAGAAGAATGTCAAGGACAAAAACAAAAAATGACTGATGATGACAACATGGTCTCCATGGTGGCCATCATGGAAATGTCCCTCCCATAACCCAGTAGGCCATGCAGATTCTTGGAATCCTTGTGTTTCCGAACACAAAAAAAAAGCTAATCCCACACTCTACTAAATCTGCAGGGTTCTTAGGATTTTTCAGACTGTCTTCTTCTGTCCTGCATACCCTTGCCTTCATTTCTCTTGGTCCCAGGCATCACTGTGCCTTTATTTTGAGATCAGTGATCCACAGATAATTGAGGCTATCCTACTTTCAGCACCCAGGAACCAAATTATGGGCACTGCCATCAGTCATGGAGAAGTACACTCACGTACTGACTGCTTATAAAGCATCTGGATGGGCCAGGCAGGGAAAGGTCAGTGGGGAAGACAGTTAAGAAGCCAGAAAGCAAAACAGTCAAAGAGGTAATAGTATCAGGTGATGTGAAGATGAAGAAAATCCAGGGCTATGTATGCTAAGATGTCTGAGCAGGACGGGTGGCTTTGACTGTGCGGTTGGTGAAGAATTCTTAAGCAACCATGACTTCTATGCTGGAACCCCAATTATTTCAGGAAATCAGAGGAAAGAGCTATGTCGGTTGGGATCCAGCAGGTGTGGAATGTTGGATGGGAGCTGTGGCTGCGTAGGACTCCAAAGAGAACCAGAAAGTCTGGGACAGAGAGAACAAAAGCAGAGAGCCAGCTGATGAAACTGGGAGAGCAGCCAGGAGCAGAATTGGGTGGGGTGTGGTCTAGGGTCAGCAGGGTTCCCCAGCAATAGTCGATAGTCAATGGTGAGAAGCAGCACTGGGGCAGGCAGAAGACGAGGCAGTGGTTCAGGCAAGACAGTGGCACAACCAGGTGGCAGTGCTGGACTCCACTTTGCAAGTTGGGCCTACTGGGTTTTTAACAGCTTAGGTGCTGGAGAGAAAGAAGAATGAGGATGTTTCTGGAATTTTCTGTCAGAGCCAGTAAAGAGAAGAAACCTCACACTTTTGACCCTGCACCACTTGCCTTTGTTTTAGCCAGAAGGAGGGAGTGTGTGAAAGCGTGGCTGGCTCTGTAAGATGAACTCTGCAGAACTGTCTTGTTCAAGCCAGATTGGTCTACACCTGACTTTCCTTTGGTGAAACCCTCTTCCTTGGGGAGGAGGGCAGGGAGTGGAGATGGAAGTTCAGTCTCAGCAACAAGAAATAACGGTTCCTGTGTTCTGGGCATAGCTTCTCCATCCCAGACCTCTAGCACACAGATAGATGGATCCAGTGCCCTAGAAATCAAATGTCTGCAGCTTTGTATACAGATGGTCATTCTCTGGTGTACAGGTGCTCAGGGAAAGCTAGATAAAGGGGACTATTTAGAAGCTCTATTTCAGAGAGGAAGATGAGGAGTGGTTCTGATGATAAGAGAGAAGTTGGAAAGATGAAAGCACGTAGTGAGTGGGTTTGTTCCCTGGGGTGGCTAGCATAGATTGCCATATACTGGGCATTTGGCCTTGCAGTTAAGACTCCACTTGGGATACCCACCTCCTATGTGAGATTGCCAGATTCCCAGCTTTGGCTCCTGGCAGCAGCTGACTACTTGCCAGTGGAGATCCTGAGAGTTAGTAGGGATGTTTCAAGTACTTGGGTTCCTGCCACCCAAGTGGGTGACCTGGATTAAGTTTTAGCCTCTTGACTGCTCTGGTCCAGTCCTGCCTGTGGTAGGCATTTGGGGGAGTGAATCAGTCGAAGGAAGGGCTCTCTCGCGCTTCATTTGCCACATGTTGGACCTCTTAGAAACAGAAATGCATCCTCTCACTGAAGTTCAAAATCGGGGTGCTCTTTCTGGAAAGTTCTAGGGAAAAATCTACATTGACCTCTGCCTGGTGTCTTAGGCTTGCTGGCAAGTCTTGGCCTGTGCAGGTTTCCTCCAGCGTCTGCCTATGTCTTCACAGGTCCTCCTTCCTCGCAGGAGCCACTCAGCCAGAAAGAAAAGAATTGTGATTAAGATCAATATATTTGGCTAGAAAGTCACTATTTTAGAAACAAAAGAGATTTATTTATTTTTATCAGAAAGGCAGATATACAGAGAGGAGGAAAGACAGAGAGGATGATCTTCTGCCCAATAATTCACTCCCCAAGTGATCACAATGCCTCACTCCCCAAGTGACCGTAATGCCTCTTGCTGTGCCAATCTGAAACCAGGAGCCAAGAGCCAGGAGCCAGGAGCTTCTTCTGGGTCTCCCACACAGGTGCAGGATCCCAAGGCTTTGGGCTATCATCAAATGCTTTCCCAGGCCACAAGCAAGGAGTTTGATCGGATGTGGAGCTGTTGGGATTAGAACCAGCATCCATATGGGATTCTGGCGCATTCAAGGCAAGGACTTTAGCCACTAGGCCAGACCCAAAAGTCACTACTCTTAACTCCCATGCTGTCACCTTCTCTCCTCTAAACATTTCTGCATACCTGAGATGATGAGATGGGTGGTGCTTCTGCACTTGAGCAATAGACTTGAAGGCAAAAGAATATGTGTTTGACATTGGTTCTCATTGAATATTGCTACTGAAATGGAGAACTAAGGAGCTCCTTTAATGGGGGGTCAGCCTTTGAATGAGGGGCCTGTTAGGGGCAGTATTGATGTCCTATTATCCCTACATGATTTTTGTTGTTGTTTCAGAAGTGAAGAAAGTAGTGGTTTTAAATTCTTGGTATTCTCTAAGATAGAGTTGGTTCCAGGGAGTCCACATGTCAGTTGGACTTTACCTTTCCTCTACCTGCCGCCAGAATGGAGGATTAACACCTGACCATTCCCTGATTGTCCATCTTGGATCTTCCAGCCAGGATGACTGACCATCCCACTCTCCCCAAGATGGAGGAGGGAGTACCTGTGATGTGGTGATGTTAATATGAAAGGTGGATAGTCCTGAGTGAACCATGACAGGCCGGTCACCATATTTGCATCCCCCTATAGTTGTGTATGGGCCAGGAAATCCCGTTTCTAACAGGGATATGCTCCCACGGTGAAAACACAGCAGACACAAGGAAATCTGCCCTGGCTGGAACCCTGTTTTCTGAGATATAAATGATGTCTCCATCCTGCCAGTGGGAGGGTCTCTCTAGAGACAGAGGGGTAAAAATATAAGGAGAGCTGGAGTCATTTCAAATACTGCTGTTTTATCTGCAGGCGAAGAAGATGAGGAAGAGCCCGAGATGCCTGTTGGCCCTCGCCCTCGGCCACTCTCTGAGCTGCACCTGAAGGAAAAGGCTGCGCCTATGCCGGAAGCCAGTGCATTTTTCATCTTCAGCCCCAACAACAGGTACGTGGGAAAGGTGGCCACAGTGAGACTGTGTTCTGTCCATAACACAAGCCTAGCAGATATACCTGTGTCTTCCCTGAATGCTGCATTGGGATTCTTCCAAATCCACAACTTGAATAAACAGATGCTGGTTTATGGGAGAGTACTGAATTCTGAATAAGACAATCTGTGTTTATTTTTCCTCCCCATTTTTAGAAATGTACAAACTCTGCTTTTTTTTCTTTTTGCTTGATTTTCCTTGATAGTTACTAGCCTTTTGAACTTAATAAAATTAGACTGTAAACTTAGTAAAGTACCGTAGTACTATAACTTATAAAATTATACTTTATAAATTTATAAATATGTATTAATTTTGTATATAGTTATAAACTTATTGAAGTTACTTAGCAACCTTCATATCATAACTTAGGAAAATTAGACAGTATCTTAACCTCCCATTTTGGACAGAACCACAGGCTATTTTGACTCAAATTCTTCCTATTTCTGTTACTGCTGATTAGTGTTTCAGTCCTAACCTTTATTTGTCAATGGACAAGTGAGATGTTGTCATTATTACTATTTAGGCCATAGGGGGCGGTGTGAAGAGAAATCTTTCTTGGTTCATTCATTCTCCATGTGATCCCAATGGCCTGGACTGTACTAGACTGAAGTCAAGAACATGTACCTCCATCTAGGTCTCCCATGTAAGTGGCAGGGCCCCAAAGACTTGGTCCATCTTTTGCCACTTTCCCAAGAGCGTTAGAATAGAGCTGGATTGGGCCTGGTGTGGCGGCCTAGGGGCTAAAGTCCTCGCCTTGAATGTACCGGGATCCCATATGGGCACCAGTTCTAATCCTGACAGCTCCACTTCCCAACAAGCTCCCTGCTTGCAGCCTGGAAAGCAGTCGAGGATGGCCCAAAATCTTGGAAACCTGCACCCGTGTGGGAGACCCCTGGCTCCTGGCTTTGGCTCAGCGAAGCACGAGGCATTATAGTCACTTGGGGAGTGAATCATCCGACAGAAGATCTTCCTGTCTCTCCTCCTCTCTCTATATATCTGACTTTGCAATAAAAATAAATAGATCCTTTTTTTAAAGAATAGAGTTGGATTGGAAGTAGAGCAGCCAGAATGCAAGCCATTTTTTATAAGGTATTCAGGCCTCACAATGGTGCCACAAAACCAGCTCCCTTACCGTGTGTGTGTGTGTGTGTGCGCACGCGCAATCCAACCCATTCTTCAGCAAATATTTTCTTTCTTCCTAAAGTGCATTCTCTGGAAATTCTTTCTAATTCCTTTATGGAAAATCCACCATGCTTCTCTTAATGATTGCTTTCTTGCTCTTCAGAGGTCACTTTGCTATGTATAAAATTATTCTACTGTAAAATTGTCTGTGACTCCAATAGTAATTCCTTAGTTAACAGTCTACCTGCTTTTATTGTATGCTGCTGGCTCTGATATGGTACCATATCCCCTGGCATGCATCTCTTCATTTATCTTACATCTCCTTGGTAGATGGATTCATATTTCTTTCCCATAGAACATGTTGAGCCCTGATCTTTAAATAGTGGATCTCCTTAATTCTTTAATCTTTCCTTGTGGCACTCCAGTTAATTCTGTTAGACTGTCTCATCATGTCTTCCCCATCTCTTATGTCTTTATCTCTCTTCCCGCTTTCATTATTCTGGGTGATTTCCTCAGCTATGCCTTCCAGTTTCATAATTCTCTTTTTAACTTTGAATCACTATCTAAATCAGCTTTTATTGATGATTATATTTTCTCATGTTTATGTCATTAAAGATGTCAAATATGGTTGTTTTATATTCTACCTGATATTTCCATTATTTTGTGGGGGGGGGTCCCAAATCATTTAATTCTTTTTTAAAGCAAAGATTTATTTATCTGAAAAGCAGAGTTACAGAGAGAGAAGGAGAAACACAGGGAGGAGTGGTTAAGGGAAGATTATCCATCAGTATTTATTCCCCCAAAGATTGCAACAGCGCTGGACCAGGCCAGTTCGCGATCTCAGAACTTCATCTTCTTTAGTAGGAGTTCTGATGATGTGAACTGGGACTGGGTGCGGGGTTTTCTTCCAGACAGCCCTTGGCTCAGCTTAAGAGTCCCAGGCTCTACAGCCATGCTTGTTTTCCTGGCAGCATTGTTGCTATTAGCTTCTCTCTTCAGGCTGTACTGCCCTTCCCTGCTTAACTGAAATGCCAGAAGCAGAAGTCTGAAGGCCTGGGTTCAAGTCCTGGGCTTCCCACACTGCATGCCATTTGTCTAGACAAGCCCTCCCTCCTGCACTGTTGTCATTGGGAGAACGTATCTAAGCCACCGGGGCATACAAGGAGTGGGCACTGGTGTGCAGAAGTCCAATGGGCAGTCCTTGGCATCAGTCCTGAAACGTGGAATTGAACTGCATGTTCCAAACTTTTACCTGGCCGCAGACCATATAGCCAGCGAGTTCGTTCCTCTGACTCCTGGCATGGGCACCTGCAGGTAGCTCTGTTGTTCCCTGGGCATAAAAAAAAGAAGTAAATGCCTTAAAGTGGGTTTTCTTTATATTAATAAAGAAAAGAAAGTACCCAAACATGTTCTAGCTGCTAATGTCACAGCAGCATGTGGATTCTCAGGCAGGGGTCTCAGACAGTATGCTTCCCAAGGTCAAAGAGGGTTTGCTGCTCTGCCAGGGCCTGGGGACCAGCTGGGTTCTGTGGAGATGTGCATCACAGGGATGGGCTAGGGTTGGCCAGAAGATTTCAGCTACGGGGCCTAGCACAGTAGCCTCATTGCTAAAGTCCTCACTTTGCACGTGCCAGGATCCCATATGGGTGCCATTTCATGTCCTGGCTGCCCTGCTTCCCATCCAGCTCTCTGCTTTGGGGCTGGGAAAGCAGAAGAGAATGGCCCAAGGCCTTGGGACCCTGCACCCACATGGGAGACCTGGAGGAGTTTCCTGGCCTCTAGTTTCAGATTGGGTAAGCTCTGGCCATTGTGTCCATTTGGGGAGTTAATCAGTGGACAGAAGATCTTTTTCTCTGTTTCTCCTCTTCTCGGTATATCTGACTTTCCAATGAAATGTCAGATATACAGTTAGGTTACTCGGGTTAGAGTTAGGGGTTACTCCCAAAACACAAGCCAAGGCAAAGAACAGAGGGGAGCAGCTCTTGAGGCCCCGAGAGCAGCTCTGCCTGTGTGTCCTGACAGCTCTGTCTTCTCTCTCTCCCGGCAGGTTCCGCCTCCAGTGCCACCGTATCGTCAATGACACAATCTTCACCAACCTCATCCTCTTCTTCATCCTGCTCAGCAGCATCTCCCTGGCTGCCGAGGACCCGGTGCAGCACACCTCCTTCAGGAACCATGTACGCTCCCCATGCCCTCCTCCCAGTAGTGTCCCCTTTCCCAGCACTTCTTGTTGCTAACTTCATTGTCCCACCAAATTGTCCAGGTTCAAATCCTCGATTCGGGTCCACCATCTGCATTACTCTAAGGGCTTTAAGTTTTGGTGAAAACACACCCTAGGGCCACCAGCAAGTAGGAGAGTGGGCATCTGAATGCCTGGGGCCACTTGGGGAAGCATTTAAGATCAGGTCTGCCCCTGCTTTGTGGATATTCTCCCAGGAAGCTCAGGTTCTTTGTACACTTACAACAGTGTGGCCACTGGCTTCCTGCCCTGTTCCTGATGTGTTCTGACCAGAAGCCAGTGTGAGGACCCAGCTGAGAGGAGGGAGAGCCCCAGGAACCCTCTGGAGGGTCTTCTGTAGAGGAGAGCTGCATCTGGAGATCCGGCCAGTGCCCTGCTGGACAGCAGTAAAGGCTGGAGTAAGACTCAGAGTCTTACTCAAAGTCTGGGAGCTTTATCAGATCCCAGCCTATGGGCATGACTTAGATCAGACCCCATTGGCCCACACAATAGTCCTGCAGCCAGTGGGGGACCAAAGCTGTCTGACTGAGCTTGGAGGTGCTGGTCATTATGCTGATCCAGCACCTGAGGTCTTATAGACCATTCTCCACCTGGATTTACCCCACCTGCATAACGCACCTTCCCACCCCCGTCCCCGACCCCGCCCTCTTGACAGAGTCCCAGTGGGCTGAGTTGGGTCTCTTAACAAATCAGATAAATGAACATGCATCCAGCCAGAGGCTATTGAGACCTGCTACCAACTGAGTCCTGCTCCGGAACTTCACGAGTCTGGGGGCTCCACACTGTGCCGTTCAAAGGCCCCACTTGGGAGCCCATGCCCCCAGCTGTCCATCTCCCAGCACAGGAGGGGTGCCTTGTTTTGAAGTGGGGTTCCTTTGCTGGTGACCCATCCATTGACCTCTCCTGCTCTGCTTTCTCCCCCTCCCCACCCCTCCTACCTGGTTTCATTTTTGTTTTGCAGATTCTGTTTTATTTTGACATTGTTTTTACTACCATTTTCACCATTGAAATTGCCCTGAAGGTAAAGCCTGATGACCTGCTCTCTCCTTTGGCCTCTCTGCTCTTGCTGCTGCCTGTGGCTAACACACACGCTGGTGCTGATGTTGGGGTCTTGGTCACAGCCACTAATCTGATTCTGCTTATTTTTCAGATCCTAGGCAATGCAGACTATGTCTTCACTAGTATATTTACATTAGAAATTATCCTTAAGGTAAAGCCACCTGAGCCACGCCTCCTGCTCACCTCTTGCTTTGTGTCCCGCTGTTCTATTCTGTTTGCTTCAACCTCTCTTTCCCTGCGCTCAAGCCTGCAATGGGAAGAGTTCGCACCTGTCCGTCTGTGTTGTCCTCAAAACCTGTGTCCTTGAGAGCTTCCTTTCTGGCCACCCTGGGGCAGTTCATGATCTGGAGGAAGCAGAAAGCTGAAGGAGCTGCCATTAATGCTGTTGTGTCTCTGGTTGGACCCTGTGGCCATCAACAATGCTCTCATACACGCTCGTGCTCACATAGCTAATGCTCACACAAGCTCACAATGCACTCTCAAGTTCACACACACACACGAGCATGCACACATGAGCTCACGCATGTGAACTCACACACCATACAGCTCTCTCTCTCTCTCTCTCTCACACACACACACACACACACACACACACAAAGAGCTCTCACTGTCCCCAATTCTCCATGACACAGCTGTACTCAGAAGTCTCCTGACTTCTTACCCAGAAGGAATGCCCGCATGATCCCCCCAAATGGACTGCTTTGGGGGGGCAACCAGGAGTCGTTTTACCAGTGTTCTTGGATGACCATGGCACTTCCCTCAGGACTCAGGCCTAAGCCAGAGTCAGGCAAAATCTAGAGCTCGTCTGCCCACAGAGGTTATCGGCAGGTGACAACAGGTAGCTTCTGACTTCTCAATCACCTACTGAAAAGTTTGGTGATAATTCCTTTTGCCCTATACCAGACAGAGGGAAAAATGTATTTCCAGCTCAGCAAGGGAGTAAAGTGAGAATCAGGTGCCAGCTGGTGCTCACACAGCCAGGCCCCTGCCCCGCTGGCAGCTGGTCCTGTCCTTAGGCCAACTCTGAGCTCCTAAAGCAACATGTGACCAAGCCAGGTCATCTGAGGTCCAGGCTGCATTTGTGAGACCTTGGTCAAACATGCTTCTCTCAGAGCAAGGTTTGGACTCTGCCCTTGCCCGAGGAGACATACCTGCAAGGGCTCAGCTCTGGGAGCGTGATCTCCTTCTTCACCCCACCCCCATCCTGGAGGTTGGCATGAGCTGATGTCCACACCTACCTGGGGTCACTGCAAGCCATATACCCTTCTGCTCTGGGAAAATGCTCAAGTTCTGCCCAGCCCAGGCCCTATGACACTTCTGTCGGGGCAGCTGCAAAACTGAGTAGACGGTGCTTGCAGGGAGCTTCTACCAGCCTCTGTCCTTTGTTCCAGCAAAAACTAAAAGTGTAGTGTGGACTTTTCCTTCCAACTCAGGGAGAACAGATCTGGGTTGGGTCCCAGAACCCTGAGTTGTATTGTTGGGAACCCCTTTCCCAGGCTGAGCTGCTTTTCTCCCTGGACTTTAGCCTTAGGGCAGCCAAGTTTTTTTCCAGAGTAAGTGGAGCTGAGGCCAGTTCCTGGGGCCCTGTGGGCCTTGGTGGTGCTATTTCTCCTGCAAGTGGAGGTGAAAGTCTCATTGTGAGTGTTGTCATGGCAAGCCATCTCCCTGCCTCTTCTTCCTGCCAGGGCCCTCTGCCTGGCTGGAAGGCTCTGCCCTCGTAACACTGCACAGGATCACAATGGCTTTCCACTAAAGGATCTGGGACAAGCTGGATCTTAAAACTCAGAGGCTTTAAGACCACATCATTGGTTAGCATCATGCCCAGACTGTGGTGTAGAGGAGAGAGAAGTAGAGTCATGGCCAATATAAGGACATGCAAAGGACAAGTTGCCACTAATACCCAGAAGAGCTGTGGAGAGAAATGGTGCTTGCCCATGACTGAACAGGGGGGCATGTCCCTGCCCTCTTCACTTATGAGCCTACAACCCATCCCCATTCCCTCTGTTGGCTGGAAACACCCCACCAATAGGCTTCCTCTGGGGGGGGATAACTCAAAATTTTTAGGACTACATGGATGACAGTCAGGGGGAAAAAAAACAGCAAAGGAAGAGGACTCTGAGCCTGGCTTCTTCTGTTGCCCTGCACGCCACCAAGAGTTTCAGTGCATGCCCTGTTTCCCCGGCACTTGCTTGCTCTTCCTCCTATAGCCACTCGACCTTGGGGCCTGCCTGGATACTGTCCTTCACCCTGCCCCCATACATGTGCATGTGCTTTCTGAAGTGCTGTCTCATGCAAGGGCCCCCTGACCCCACAGAGCCCCTAGGCTACAGAAGGACAGAAGTAGGTCACTTGAACCCCACATGTCCATGTCCATACTGAATGGACAAGGCTCTGTTGGAGCTCTGTGGTTGTTCAGAGAGTCCAGGTCAGGAGTCAGGAGAGCTCGGGGCCAGTATCTTCTCCTCTAAGGCTGAGAATGAAGTGCTAGGGGAGGTAGATGTCTGGCCTTCTGCAGGCTTAGAGTGGTCTTTGCAGGAGCCTCCTGAAGGCTAACTCTGGGGTCGCAGACATAGGACAGTGAGCCCCCTGACAAGGCAGCTCTCTTCCTCTGCATCTTTTTATGTAATCTACCCACTTCTAAGCACTGTTGCAGAACACAGGTGCCCAAGTCCCCTATGGCCCCCTGGCGCAAAAGATAAGTAGAAAGAATTGGGTTACAAGAGCTATTTTGGTCCCTTTCCCTCCGTGTTTAGCTTTTGAATTGCTCTGCAGATGCCCCGCACTAGGCATGCTCTGATTCCAGAGAGATAAATATGTTCCCAGGTGACCAGGAAGAAACCGCTCTCAGCTTTCCTACCATCAGCAGCTCCAGATTCTCATCTCTAGTGGTACTTCCTCCCATTGCCTTTGCCAAGCCTCCTCCTTTCCCTGCCCGGATGTGTGCACCACCTGTAGTTCCCGGCAGCCCAAGGGGAAAGGCTATTTGTTGAGTATCCTAAGTGCTCTGCAAGATGTCACAGTGGCCAAGTCTTGCCTTAGTCCTCAGCCCTGCTGTGAACACCTTTTCAGATTCTTCAAGGGGCTTCCATGTTATTTGTTGCAAGAGCCTCAAAGATGCCAGGGAATGGTGGCCCCGTGACCAGTGTGGGCACCAGACTTGCCCGATAGGGGAAGAATCCAGAATTCAAACCCCAGGCCCATCGACAGATTTGTCTGTGGGAGAATGTTCCATATTTTACATGTAATGACTCAGTTGGTGACCCTTCAACGTGGATATTGAGGCACTCAATATCAGCCTCACTTCTAAGGTGAGGAATTAGGTACCAAGAAATATGTTACTCCAGACTGATGGGAGGGGTTCAGACCCAGCTGTATGGGTTCCTATCCACTGGACCACTTAACCCTTCAGAACACACCATTCCTGCGGGCCACAAACAAGGAATTAGAGTAGATTGGCTTAGCTTTCCAGCACTCAGGAATCACAGGGGGGCCAATAATTAGAGTTATTGGTTAAACTTCTCACCGGGCACTGGAATGACCAACGGTCTTGTTTTCTCAAAGACTGAGGGTTTCTTAGGACATGGGGCTGGGCGGCTCAGAAAAGCTGCCTCACCTTTCAGGGTGCCCCCTCGCCGGCCCTCCCTAGCAGGCCCTGAGGGCAAGAGCATTTGGAAAGGAGGTTGAAAAGCGGGCATGCAAGGACAAGAGCCTAGGGACTGTGAGAACAGGACCCCAGAGGGCTGGAGCAGTGGATGTGTGATGGACAAGACGGAGGGAAACTAGAGAGGCCAACAGGGGCTGTTTGAAAGGGCTTTGATTACAGGACTGCGAACTACAGCCTGATCTGCTGGGGCTGGGGGCCTGGTGACAGTATGGTGGCTGAAGAGCCATGTTCTTGACATCATGTCTCTGTCAGTCCTTCCTGATCCCCGTAGGCAGTGTCCAGGTCCCTTCTGGAGGAGGTTGTGGGAGGGCAGTTGGGTGAGGGGGCTCTCTGGAACATGGGCCACATCACCCTCACTGCTGTTTTCTCTGCCCCTGCAGATGACTGCCTATGGGGCCTTCCTGCACAAGGGCTCCTTCTGCAGGAACTATTTCAACATCCTGGACCTGCTGGTGGTCAGCGTGTCCCTCATCTCCTTCGGAATCCAGTGAGTAGGGCTCAACACAGCCCAAGATGGCGGCATGCAGCTAAGAGTGGGTCCCCAACTCCGGGGACCTTTCTGAGGGTAGTACAGCATGCTAATGATGTGATGTGCCAGGGCCTCTGGAGAGATACAACATACCTCTTGGTTCACGTTATTTTTTTTTCCCACACTCTTCACGGTAGGACATTTTGGGGGTTGTTGTTGAAATAGCTGCATTTTGTCGGGGCTGTACCCGGTTATAAAGAAACTGGTGTCTCTATTGCCTTCCAACCTGCTCGGTTGTGTGCCCAAAGTCCTTTGGCTGCCAGGAAGCTGCCATTGTCATGACCTTCTCTGACCTTAGAATCCTTCCTCCCTCTCCTTTACCTTGTTGTCCAAAGACTGTGTGTGTTTGTGTGTGTGTGTGTGTGTGTGTGTGAGAGAGAGAGAGAGAGAGAGAGAGAAGAGGAGAGGAGGAGAGAGAGAGTGGGGGGGAGAGAGAAATATGAGGGGAGGATAGAGAGTGGGGGAGAGAGATAAAGAGAGGTGTGAGAAGAGAGGTAGAGTATCTGGGCTGGAGGGTTTTATAAGCTCTCCAGGTGACATTCTTGCACAGCCAAACCTTTTTCAGATCGCACTGCTAATTTGTTCCTCATTCTAAGAACTACTGTGTTATTCCTGCACTTTAACTTTTTGCATTTTTACCTCACCATCAAAACAAAACAAGAGCATGAATTCCATGAGATAGGACAAGGCAAGTGGCGGTATCATTATATTGGAGAGGGGAAATGTTCAAGACTTCAAGAGACTTCCTCAAGGTAGACTCACCTCTACCACAGGCACAAAAAGGCTGAAGTCCCAGGGGGACTTTAGCATCTGTCACCAAGAGGAATTTCAGGGTCACTGAGGAGGGGGTGGAGATTGTGACCTTGGAAGTGAAACCCTTTTCTGTGATCTTCAGTTATGTTATCATCCTAAATCATCTTCCTGGAATCCTTCAGAGCTAGACCACCTAACCTGCCTCCATCACCTAACCTGGGACTTCTTCCACCTGTTTCCTTGCTTTTGGCTTTATGCTCCTTCCATGTGACTCAGTGCAAACTGTCCACGTCCCACGGCTTCTGTGAGAAAGGACACAGTGACAGATAGGAGTGTCCTTGAATCTCAGAATAAGCCTCATGAACAAAGGACCTCTGAACCATCCACTTTCAAGCTCATCATCCCAACTGCAGAAAGAACATCATCGGTACTTACTGAGCCAGTAGACCTTCTCTGGGTTCCTGTGTGGAAGCAGGGCAGCCGCTAGGGACACTGCAGAAGATGGCTCAGCTAGGTGCTTGACAGGGAAAGCTTGCCATAGACTTCAAGCTGCTTATCCTGCTGTGGCTAATAAGTCCTCATGGGTTAAACGAGCAGCTCTGGGAACCAGCCGGGCACATGGCTGCTGGGCCTCGGGAGATGTGCCTCTCCTGCCTCCTTCCCAATGAGGAAGACAGCAGGTACCTAAAGCTCCCAGACACTCTTGTCTTGGCCTTGGTCTCCCTGCTGTGTGGAATCTGTTGAGTAGGAACTGTGGAGTCCTAAAAATGCCAAAATGCAGAGGGCATTCCACATGGAAGTGTCCCAGGTGACTCCCAGGAAATGAATGTGGAGAAATAAATCTCCCCACACCTGCCATCTTCAGCTACAAGGCCAGAGGGAAGACCATTGCTCTGATGGTCTTCAACCGTGAGATCTTCAACAGGCGTATACAAAAGCACTATTGATTCAGTCCATAAGAGAAGGGCACTTCAGACAGCTCATGGAACATGAAATTAAAGGATCAGGTTATTTTTTGGCAATTTTTTAAAGTCCGTGCTTGCAAAGAATCTTTTTAAAAATTTCATGGAAAATCTTTGTTATTAAAAACTATTATCAGGAGCTGTTGTTGTGGCACAGCAGATAAAATTGCTGCCTGTGACCTTGGCATTCCATATGGGAAATGGTTTATATTCTGGCTGCTCCGCTTCCAATCCATCCCTCTCTCTGCTCATAGTCTGTGAAAAGCAGTGGAGGATGACACAAGTGTCTTGGGCCCCTGCCTCCCATATGGGAAATCCACATGAAGCTCCTGGCTCCTGGCTCCTGGCTCCTGACTCCTGACTCCTGGCTCGGGCTTGACCTAGCCCTTGCTCTTATGAGCCTCTCTGGATTATACCAGTGAATAAAAGATCTCTCTTTCTCTCCCTCTCTGCCTGTAACTGTCTTTCAAATCTGTTGATAGTAATTAAAAAAAAAAAACTACATGGTTTACAAAATATTTTTGTACCAATGAAGTTTGTCCCTTTTCCCACAAACTTTTTGAAACATCTGCAAGTGTGCCAAGCCCACTACAAATGACTCACATAAAGTTATCATTACATTCTCACAGCAGCTTTAAGAGTTGGTCGCTGCCCCATTTCACAGATAAAGAAGCAGCATGGCTCAGGGAGGGCAGTCTATGTGTCCCTGCTGACCTGCTGGCTAATGGCGATGCTGGGGTGTGAATTCGGGCTTGCCTTGTTCCAACTCCTCTTCCTCTGACACCGTGGCTGACCTCTCCCTGATCCCAGTAAGGAATATGGCTTTTACTCACCCACAGGAATGGCCTATCCACAGGCAAGCCCAGGGCTCCAAAGGGGACTGTCCCATTCTGTGACCAGAATGGGAAGTCAAGAATGAGCCCCTGGTGGGTAAGTCCTGAGAGACTCCACACCTTGTCAGGTGTGCCTGGGCCCAGCCTGTCAAGATGTCACCTCCTCACATTCTTCCAGAAGCTCAGCTGCTGCCCTGCTTTTCTCTCTCCAAGGTCCAGCGCAATCAATGTAGTGAAGATCCTGCGGGTTCTGCGAGTGCTCAGACCACTGAGGGCCATCAACAGGGCCAAGGGACTGAAGGTGAGAGGCACAGGCCTAGCAGGAAGCTCTGGCAGATGGACACCAGGCAGGCCAGGGTTCGGCCATGTGAGGGGGGCTTTGTTCCTATCACAAGGCCTTGTCTATAATGAGCAGATGACCTCAGCCATTCAGAACCCAGTATCCTAAGTGGTACTGCAAAGGGGAGACCTCCACACAAACCCTGTGTCCCCTCATGGGGAGGAGTCCTCTGTATTCCCACCGCCAACAAGGGGAAGTTAGCAGCGGAGCTTTGGTCACCTAGAATCCCATGGGGACTTTGTTGCACTGGCTTCCATCATCCCCTCACTGCTCAGGGAAGGTGGCTTCACCTCTCTGAGCTGACTTCTTCCACTTGTGGCAGAGGGGTTGCCCGTACTACCATCCCAGAGAGGCTCATGGCATGACAGCAGGTGTTACCTGAAGTGACACCCCTTTCCCTGGCCCCCCTCGTTCCCCCCACAGCACGTGGTTCAGTGCGTGTTCGTTGCCATCCGAACCATTGGGAACATCGTGATTGTCACGACGCTCTTGCAGTTCATGTTCGCCTGCATTGGAGTCCAGCTCTTCAAGGTAAAGTCTCAGCTCTGACTCATGGTGTGCCACCTGCCCTTCCTGTCCATGTTTCCAGGAAAAGGACCTGGCAGACACATGGAGGAGGATGTGGCCCCATCAGACTGAGAGAGGTGCTACAGCCCCACCCAAGCTTCTTAGACTAGTGGAGGATGAAGCCATAGTGGGGCACAGGCCCACCAGGCCAAAGGCCTATCACCTTCTCTGCTCTCCTGCCTTCTTCCACACTGCCCTTCCTTCTGGCAAGAAAGGGGAGACGTTTCCTTCTCTAGAGCCTCATTCAGTCACTTCCTTAACACCTTACTATCTGCCACATCACATTTGCCTTCCCATGTGGTCTTTCAGGTTGGTCTAGATAGCTCTTGCTACTTCCAGCAAGTCCTGTCAACCCAGGGTTATATTTAGCTTCTGCTCATTTCTGCCTTCATCCATTTAGCCCTGCTGGTCCCACACCCAAAACATCTTACCCTGCCCTCCCTTGCCTTTGTGTACTGCAAACTTGCATAAATCCCTTCCCCACTAATCCACACCACCAAGCCCAACTCCTCTCCTTCCTTTCTCATAAGACCTTTCTGGCAAGTCCAAATGTCAGGGGTAGAGCTCCCCTTTGCTGAGTTCCAGCAGCATTCTGGCTGCTTTCCTTTCTGGGTTCTGTCTTCCCCATCCACATTATGCCTCACCTGCAAGTTTTGATCCTACACTCCCTAGCCCAGCGCTAGGCTAAGCTGCGCCCACCAGTTGTTCTGTGGTTGCTTTGTTGATGGATGGACATCTAATCACTCTGTTCTCTGCCTTCCAGGGCAAGCTCTACACCTGTTCAGACAGTTCCAAGCAAACTGAAGCTGAATGCAAGTGAGTACAAGCTGGAGGGCAGCTGTCACCAAACCTGTGAGCTCTGGGGAGCTAGGGCCTTGGCCTGAGAGCAGGGACAGCCCTCCTCCCTCAAACCCAGAAGCAGCACAGCTTCTGCCCCTGTGTCATCTGGCCCCATTGACATAATGTGCAATGTATGTTATCTCCCCTATAAAGTTCTGCCCACTGAAGTTGTTTCCAGTGGCTAAAAGTATGAGGTGTAAGCCTGTGCCATCCTACCCTGCCCCACAAGCCAGGAGTCATTGGTGGCTCAGGTGCAAAGGGAGCTGAGTGACCTCAGAATTGACTTTCTCCTTCTTTCTCAGGGGTAACTACATCACATACAAAGATGGAGAGGTTGACCATCCCATCGTCCAGCCCCGCAGCTGGGAGAACAGCAAGTTTGACTTCGACAATGTCCTAGCAGCCATGATGGCCCTCTTCACCGTCTCCACCTTTGAGGGGTGGCCAGAGTGAGTCAAGGCCCACCTGCCTGATAAGAGAGGGTCTTCTATCATTCCCCAAGTCTTGTTCCTGTTCCACATTAACTTGCTGAGTTCATACTCACGTGTGACCTCACCAGGGCCTGGGAGTGTGTTTGTACAACAACCTATGAACCTCACTCACTGCTGAAGTTTGTGTGGAGAAAGAGGTAAAAGGTAAGTTTATGTTGGTGTAAAAAAAATTTAAAATCCATGAGTAATAAAGGAGCCTTCAGAAAGTTCATGGAAATGCATACCCTGATAAAAAAACACATGGATTTCAAGTATTTTTACACCACGGTAAACTGACCTTTTAGCCTCACATTTCCCCCCAAACCTTCTTGCCATGCTCCCATAGGTCTTTCTTTAATAAGATATGAGCACTTAAGAACTCTAGGAAAAATCAAGTCTTTTTCCTCTTAGCTTTGTCTCTTAACCTCAGCATGAGTCACAGTGTTGAGCTCTCCATCACTGCTGTCATGGCATGTGAGAACAGAGGCTGGGAAGAATTTCTCCATGTTTTGGCCCCCTCCATTGCCATCCTATTTGATCCCCGTGTGCACTTGGAGATGGCAGGACTATCAGAGGAGTCTTGGCTTCATTAGACTCTGCCCCAGTCCCCTTAGAGGAAGCCTTGCCTGTGTTCATGGGAGAAAGTAAACATGGTCAAAGTTGGGAGTCCCAGCTCTCTGCATGGCTGTGCCTTCACACCTGGCCAGCCTGGAAGCCTTTGATGCTGCTGTGTCACCTCCATCAGGCAGCTTTTCTACCAGGAGTTCCATATGGGCACCTGCTTTCCCCCATATGGATTCTAAGGAAATTCACATCAAAAAGTCCCCAAATCGCAATACTTCTGTCAGAGGCAGCACTGGGATCTTTTACGTGAATTGCCATTGTTGTACAGTAAATACAGATCATCCCTAGAGAGTAACTAAGTCCTGTGCAAAGCACAGAGGCAAGTGAGGAGATACTGCCTGCCCTTGCAGAATCACCATCCTCACCGGGTACATGCCCAGACCCAGCTGAGTGGCACAAGTACGTAAACTACCTAAGGATCAAACCAAACCTGGATGCATGATCCAAAGCTCGTGAGCAAAGTTAGTAATTCTATCTCCATGGATACTTGCTGTCAGCTGGATTTATTTTATGTTTTCTCTGACATCCTCCGAGTCCATGCCAGCTTGGAAAGCTGTCTCAATATTTACCAGCTTTTCCATATTTAAAGTGGATGTCCATGGCTCATGCTACGGTTCTTTATAGTTTTGTGTGCCAGCTACTCTACAAGGCAAGGATTGTTGTCTCTATTTTACAGATGAAGAATCTCAGGCTAAAAGAGGTTCTGTGATGTTCCCAAGGTCACCAGGCCAGGAAGTGGCAGGGCTGGGCCTGGGGCTCCCATGCTGGAGCCATCCCAGGGACCCTGGGCTCAGTGGAGCTGTCATTGTGCAGAGGTGACCCTGTTCCTATGCCTCTCCCTCTTTGGGCTCCTGCAGGCTGCTGTACCGCTCCATCGACTCCCACACGGAAGACAAAGGCCCCATCTACAACTACCGTGTGGAAATCTCCATCTTCTTCATCATCTACATCATCATCATCGCCTTCTTCATGATGAACATCTTCGTGGGTTTTGTCATCGTCACCTTCCAGGAGCAGGGAGAGCAGGAGTACAAGAACTGTGAGCTGGACAAGAACCAGGTAGCGCCCCAGGGTGCAGCAAAGGGAGATGGGACAGATGGAAATGTGGCCCATGTAAGCAGTGGCCATGGCCTGCAGCTCATGAACCATCAGGAGAGGCAGGGCTGCGGTCTGGATGGAGGTCCATGTGGATGTCAAGATCTCCTGTGCTCTTCTCAAACAGAACAGGGCTGCCAGCACCCAAGCCAAAGAAATGCCACACATCTCAGATACAGGGACTGTATTGGGTAACACATTCTCATGAAGCTTTTATCAAAGGAGACTGCAAAATAGGCTTATGCCCTGTCTGGAAATTAATAAGCTGGAAAGCACCAGGTGTTAGAATTCAGAGGAGAGAAATAAGAGAGAGTGAGAGCTCTTGGCAGGTGAGGGAGCAAAGAGCTCTGGGAAACTGCTCTTTTGTGTCACTTATCAAACAAGAGGATTGGCGCAGGAGGAGGTTTAAGAGGGAGTAGAGGACCCGGAGCTGGCCCAGCAGACTGGTCTCTGTCCCAGCCTTTGCCCAGGGCTGACCACGCCCATGGCTGAGTAGTGGAGTAGTGGAGCTCTCCAGATGAGCTGCAAGTGCAGTTGCTGTGATTGCCACCAGCAAGCGTTGCCAGGACAGCTAGAACCCCATCTGTGAGTAAGGACTGAGTAGGGGATGGAGGGTGGTGCCCTGAGCACAGCTCCCCCTGCTGGATCTTTGACACCAGCTCATGTGAAGACTCATCCTTCCAGTGGCTCAGTAGACTTTGGATGGAAAGACAGAAAAGAGAGGCCAATCAGAGAGTGTAGGTAAGAGTTGGTAAGAGATTGGCCCAAGTCAGGTGAGTGACAGTACAGATGGGAGGAGGTCGGAGAAGGTAAAATGAGTAAGGCTTGGGGACTGGCTGTGGAGGGGGCAGTGATACTCAACATCCTGATTTAGGGACCTAGGTACAGTGCAGATAAACAAAACAGGCTTTTGCTGGAGTCCCCAGAATATCAATTAACCCAGGAGTTCCTCTCTATCAGTGAACTTTGTCTTCTGATCTTGTGAACATGAACACATATGGAAGGTTGATTTAGGACAGAACAGAAAAATCAAGGCAATGGGCAGGTGCCATTGGCATATCAGGCTAAGCCCCCACCTGTGGTGCCAGCATCCCATCCCTTATGGGTACTGGTTCATGTCTCAGCTGCTTCACTTCTGACCCAACTCCCCACTTATTGCCTGGGAAAGCAAATGCAGGATAGCTCAAGTCCTTGGGTACCTGCAATCATACGGGTCTTTTAAGAGGAAGCCTCTGACTTCTGGCTTCAGATTGGCTCAGCTCTGGCATTGAAGCCATCTGGGAGTGAATCAGCTGAGGAAAGATCATCCCCCCTCTCTCTGTCTCCATCTCTCTGTAACTCTGCCTTTCAAATACAAATAAATATTGGAAGAAAAAGAAATAAGGAAATAGTGGGAAGATGTTCGTTAGGTCCATCTCTCCCAAATGCTGGCTCCCTGCGGAGCAGTAACCAGCCATCACCAGGTGGAAATGAGGAAATATGTCCTCCTGTGATATAAAGACAGAGCATTGACTAGAAATGCCTCTGTCTTGATTAAGGGAGAAATGGAAAAGCAAGACATTTCCCAGAGCTTGCTTCTCCAACTGTCAGAGGCGGGCAGACCCAGCTACGCCTCTCCCCTCATGCAGATGTCTTTAGAACTCCCTCTCTGTCTCTCCATTGCCACCTTACCCCTCCACGGCCTCCTTTCAGCGGCAATGCGTGGAATACGCCCTCAAGGCCCGGCCCCTGCGGAGGTACATCCCCAAGAACCAGCACCAGTACAAAGTGTGGTATGTGGTCAACTCCACCTACTTTGAGTACCTGATGTTCGTCCTCATCCTGCTCAACACCATCTGCTTGGCCATGCAGGTCAGTCCTGGGGGCAGTCTGTTGTCATGGTGCCTGTGATGGGACTGTGCTGGGGAGGGAGGCTCTAACGTTGAAAGTGCTGTATGACAGTCACACTCTGCTACCTCTCTGATAGCCACAAGAGGCAGAAAGAGTGGACAGCTCGCCTCTTCTCCCAAGAAAGGCCAAGAGTCCTTCTCTGCTCTCTGAATCCATAAGACTGTGGGTTGACCAAGTGGTGGGAAGGGAGAACAGAGGCTGTGCTCAATCAGCATTATGGGGAGGGCATGGGTGACAAAGAGGTTCTCTCTTCTTCTGTTCGATTGGTCAACTGGTCCCTGCACTCTTGGGAGTGTCAGGAGCCTCCATAAAGTCCTTACAATCTACCAAAGAAAGCACACGGAACTCTACTGCACTGCTGCCAGTGATGGTGGAAAAGCAAGTACATGCTTTTTTTTGCCAGAGGCTCCTGCCCCATGGCTGCCCACAGATAGCTGTGTGGCCTTTGTGGGGTGGGGTCTGTCCAAGGAATATCCGTGTTGAGAGGAAGGCCTCCAGGAACATTGCACAGCTCCCTAGAAGGAGTAAGGCTCTCCCTGCCTGGTTTTCATGGCTCCTTCCCTTCCTCTCCACTCAGCACTATGGCCAGAGCTGCCTGTTTAAAATCGCCATGAACATCCTCAACATGCTCTTCACTGGCCTCTTCACTGTGGAGATGATCCTGAAGCTTATTGCCTTCAAACCCAAGGTAGGCCTCTGGTTCACGGGCACTAGGGAAGCTGATAAGAAAGGGCTGTGGCAATGCAGGCACCGAGAAAGGCAGAGTGAGGGAGAAATGTCATGAGGGTAGACATCCCTCCTCCCACAGCAGAGGTTCCAACCTCAAGAATACTATTGGGGTTCTCATGTGCCAGGTCAACTCATTGAAAGAAAATTTCACTTGTGGTCCTAACCTTGACTGGCATCATGGGAAGTGGATTCTTGCTTGAGCAAGGATCCCTAGAGAGGCAGATCATGGCCTTTCTCCTACCATTTCCCACCATGTCTCTGGCCCTATTCCCCAGCCAATAAGACAGAGGAAGCAATACCCGTAGAATGGCAAACCAAACCTCTCCAGGCCTACCCTCCATAGGTCTCTGCTCTGCCTTCCTCCCTTTGTATTAGCTCTGAAGTGAAACCTCGTGGAAAACTTCAGCCAGGCCTGCACATGCTCAAGATTTAGGGCTCCTGCCTCTAGGCACCACCAGTTCCCTGTCTCACAGTCCCTTATACTTTTCCATATAGGAAGAGCAGGTGCTTTAAGTTTTCTTCTCTTTGCTCCAGGGAGGAGAGGGAAGATTAGAACCATTAGTTAAACGGGGCAAAGTAGAACAAGGTTGGATTATCTGTCATTTGGGATGATCTATGCCCTTCCTAGCCAGCTCTACTCTCCTCGTCCTGGCTCTAAGAGAAACCAACCAGGGTGAACAGGGCCTTCCACCTCCAATCTCTGCAGACAAGTCAGAGTCACCAACATCACTGACCTAGGGTTCAGAGGGAGGTTCCAGCAGCAACTCAGCTACCCCAAGTTGCTGCTGTACCCTCTGGGAGCAATGGAAAGAAGAGTTGTTTCCAAGGAGACTTGTGTAGTTATCCACTGGAGCTCCCTGAACCTTCTCTTGGCATTCTTTCCTGTTTCTCCCAGCTGCAGCATAAGTCAACAAGAGGTTAGAAGGAAGAGCCTGTGGCTAGATGTGTGTTTTGTATTTAGAGTTTTACATTCCAGAATTAACTAGGAAAAGGAGAGGGTCCTCTTTGGTCATTGGATCCGTGTTCTGTAACAAGATCTCCATAGCTGCCTTTGAATGTGAAGTCAGCGTTGTGACAATGTCCCCTATATGGCACACACATCACTGCATGTAATCCTCCACCTACCATAATCAGATGCGTGCTGTCATCTGTGGGGACGAGGAAAGTGAGGCACCAGCAATTAAATGCCCAGTGTTAACTATGCTGCAACTACTAAGTGGCTGAACTAAGGCTGGAACCTTTGACTTTATGCTTGATGTCATTTTCCACCATAGCAAGCTGTTAGTAAGCACTTTTCAATGTCAAGCGGTCACATAGGGCTGTCGTCTCAAAGTGAGGGAAGCAGGAAGGGAGAGAGAGAAAAGGAAATAGCCTTTGACTGATTTAGAAGATAAGTCAAATGATGTTTCTACGATGCTGGGTCTTCCTCGCTCAGAGCAGGCCTAGAAACATGGCTAACTTTTAGAGAATGAGACTCCTAATAAATATCAGTGGGTGATGATAGTGACATTACTATACCTCTTCCAGAGAAAGAAATTGCCCTTTTTTACTTTTCCTCCCATGACTAGTCCCACTTCAGATCCCAACCTAGCAAGGAGCACCGAATTGCCTCTAGAAGGCCTGTAGTGCATCTCTCTGCACCACCAGACTCCATGTCCCAGAGTCTAGGAATCCTGGCAGGTTTACCACCCACAGAAGAGTGACCCAGTGAGCCTGGGCATGCAGACTCCTTGCCAAGTTGAGCTTCAGTGCCAAATGACAGCATCTCTGTAGGAAACTGGCACTTCATCTGGCATCATCAGACATATGACTTGGCTATTTTGAAACCTCGAGTCACCCCATGCTTGACGCAGTTATGTTTCTGATGATAGATGCCTGTGGTCACTTGCAGAACCCCACAATGGGCTTTCTGAATCATGCATGCTCATGAGCATGCAAGATGGATTGGGACGCCTGCCCTAGGAAACACAGGCAATTGACAGCTGCAGAAATCTCAGTCTACAAGACTACCTGGGTCTAAGCTAGTTTCCCGGGAAGCAGCCAGTTGAGGTGGCCTAAACTAGACAGTGCCTCCTGGTGTCCTCACTCTCTGGTTTTCTATCATGAGAAGAAGAGGCAAAATATCAGAGACTTTTCCTCAAAATAGGAAGAGAGCCATCCTGGGGCTGTTTGCATTTCCCACATGCCAGTGTCAATTTGTGCTGCAAGGAGAAAGAAAACAGGGATCCTTCTTTACTGTAAATTTGGGTAAAGGGGCGTCTCCCAATAGAGAAATGAAGGCTGCTGTCTGATTGGCCAGAAAAGGCTGAGAGGTTGACAAGAGCATTAATGGGAGCCAGTCCCCTGGATCCTCACTAGACCATCTTCGACTGAGGAAGAAGAGCTTCAAACAGAAAGTCCAACCAGAAACCACTGGAGTTCTGATGGAAATATCTTACTGAACCTGTCTGCAGAGCAAGTGGGCCCCCGCAGTGATCTGAACTACCTAACAACTGGCATAGCTCCTAGTAAGTAGGATTCTGTCCTGCCTGGGTCACACCGCTGGCATGATTGGTGGTAGCTGTGGACTTGTAGTGAACAGTTAGCTCTGAAAGCACAATTAGACACACGGATGGAGGACACTGACCTTGACAAGGGTCAGGGAGAAGTCACTTAAGTTATCACTACCTGGATCTTCTATGTCCTTGCAGTCTTAGCACTTGGTTGGTTGTTTGACCAATTGGTTGGCCAATTTCCTTCTATTGCTCTCTTTTTTATGCCACTCAGGAAATGAACAAGCAGATATATGGATGGAAGGTCAATCTCTCCATCCCTCCCTCTCTCTCTGTGTAACTCTGCCCTTCAAATAACATAAATAAATCCTAAGAGAAAGTATTTACTGCTTAAAAGAATAAGTCCAACAGGAAGTAACTTAAGATCTATACAGAGAAGATTGTAAGATTATATAGAAAGGAATTTCAGAAAAGCTAAGACATCAAGAACAGTATGTTGATAAATTGGGTGACTCAGTAAGATAGTATTTCTCCTTCGATACAGTCCCAATCCAAACTCCAAATTGATCCTTACCCAAGGTGAGGAGCAGGAATCACAGAACAAATCCTTTGGGCCTTCAAGACTGAACCTGTGCTCTGACCAGCAGAGCCAGTAACGTGGACAGGGAGAGGGTCTGGAAATGAAGCACCAATAGGAGACGAGTGGTGGTGGAAGTCTATCCGAGGAAACAATGCCAGCCGTGGAGCCTCCAGGCAGCTGTGGATTTGGGGGCCAGCAAGAGTGATGGCGCCACTTAGCTGCCTGGAGTTTGTTGTTGAATGTGCCTCATCAGGGATAACAAGGGAAGAAGGGGGAGAAGAAAGCATGAGATGCAGGCAAGGCTACAACTTGGCCTCATATGCCCAGAAAGGTAGGAGTTCACCCCAGATAGACAATCTCAACTGCCCTTCTCCTTGTGGGCTACTCTCAGGACTCAGGGAGCATGGGAGAGCAAGTAATGCTGCTTCTGAGACCCACTTCTTGCTTTGGGGCTGGGGCACCCTTATTGGGCTATCAGTGAGTAGCCAGTTCTCACAATCCCTTAGCTTCTCCAGGGGAGGACACTTGCTGGCTGTCTGTGACCAACACCTGGGCCTCACCTGTCAGCTCTCTTGCAGCCTGAGACGAGTCCAGATAGACAAGTAGAACCCCAATGAAAAGACTGATCTGCCCTCCTGGCTGCCCCCATGCTTACATAAGAGCCTTGGGCTCATGTTCATAGGGTTAAGGCCAACCAGGACTCAGAGGGACTGCAAACCTAGGAGATGAAGTGAAGCTTCTGGCCTGGGACCAGCTGTTAGAACATTCTAACATAAGGAACATACTCTGTAGGTACCATCTACAGAACCAGCATTTGATTCCTGTGGCAAAGAAACACTTGAAATGTCCCTAGTACAACAGAGGAAGTGAGTCTTAGGCCTTATTTAGTCTAAGTGACTTCATTTTCCAGCACACTACCATGGTGCCAGCGGTTGTTAAGCTGGGAAGATGTCACTCCCTCCTCACTTCTTTCTTGCTATCCTCTGTCTGTCTCTTGGTTTATCAGCTCAACTAGCTGCTTCCATGGCATGAAGTCAGATAGTCTGTCTTGTTCTTGGTGCTGATCCTACATCCAGTGATGTTCTGCCTCTGATGGGATGAGGTGATGTCCTGTCCTGAGTTTCTCTCCTGACTGTCAGTTTCTTCATCTCTTGGCATCTGCATCAAACCCTTTCCTCCTGCAGACCTGATGATTTCTTTTTTATTGGGGCCACAGCAATGGCTCTGGTCTTTACTGAACTTTCCAGGAAGAGCCAGGAGGCATTCAGGTGGTCCTCTTAGTGATGGACACCCTACAGTTCTTGTGCCTAGGGAAGTCTGCTCTGTGTCTTGGCAGTCTGTGAGCCTGAGTGAAGGTGTTGCTGCCTTGGCCTTGGCCTGCATGAAGTCAGCCTCCATCTCATCCAAAGGCCAGTGCAGTGGTGAAGGTCCCATGGCTTCCAGTGCCTTATAGAGCACTCACTCTGCTTTGCATACTCTGTTTTTCTTAAAAATCAATTTAACCCTTAAGGATGAGGATAAACTGTGACACAAGTGGGCCTAGGCTTTGCTGAGGTGAGGATATAATCCATATGCAAGGGTCTTGCTAACATTTCTCCCTCAGACTCCTGGCAGAAGGGACAAATAAGAGCTTGGCTGGGGCTGAGTTCACACACGGAAAGGCCAAGGAAGGCTGCTGTGGGGAGAGTGGTTACACATGCAGTGTGTAGAGAGAGAGAACCTGGTTTCAGCAAGGAAATGCAGGAGCCAATTTGCTAGCCTGTCAGCTCTGCCATGTCTAGAAGCTCCTTTCCTTCAAGACTCTGCATTCCCAGATTTCCCTGCACAAACAGCTTTGCTTGCACAGCCCCAGGCTGTGGCTCACTTCCTTTAGTCAGTGGGGGTCCT